ATCATGACAATTAATCATACTAGGGAAAAATACATGGATAGTGTACATCATTATATTTGAGGCAGTGCAAGAGTACATGTTCTTCTAAAATAGATCATTCAATACAAAGACTCTTCCTTGAATGTACAGTTATTAAACATTTCCGATGTTTCTGAATGCTTAATTCATTATATGACTGACCCGTGAAGAGCTCACCCGTTTAATATTTAATATCAATGCAGGTTTATTAAATAACATCACTTGAGAACGGGACTATTTTATCCGTCAGTTGGTCATTCGAACTTGGCCGTCGATAGCACTATGCAAATGTACTCTGCAACGTTTCCTCCTAGACGGATAATTTAATCCCGATTGACACTAGCATTGTTCACAAAACACCAGAGATGCATAGACACATTACCCATGCATCTCATGCCTGTATTATTAACATATTGCACTTAAATATGTCAAGTCCTTGTGTTTTTATACAGTAAACTATGGTGAAAACGAACTCAAAGGGACCATTAATATTAGTTCGTTACAACAGTAGTTCGTTATAAGCATATACAAAGCATATATACAGCAAATGCACCGAACCAAAAAGCAGTTCGTTATATCCGTCAGTTCGTTATGAGCTTGTTCGTTATAAACGTAGTTTACTGTAGTTACCTATTTCAGGATTTGCGAAGAATTAGATAGAGTATACTGACTATCTCTTTTGCATTGTATTATTGCCAACATTGTGGCATTATTAGGCTCTAACCATCACCAATAAACAAAACATTATGGTTAAAGATCATCACAACAGTCATCGCAACGTCTACTTACGACCTTGACCTTCATGTTGTAAATGAGTGTAGTGCCTCCTGGACCAAGTGGAGAGTCGCTAGAAATTCAATATTGCATCGTGAATCTTGTTTGCTCCGAAATTGAACAGATAGTGGAACCTAACGGTAATGACTCGTTTGAACTCACACAGCCAACATAAGGTGCCTCGAGGAGTCAATCGTGTTGCAGATCCTCTCACATAGATTTTCCATTTAATGTAAATATTTCTAACTTGGTGATGTTTGTGTACATAAATTATATCATGAACACGAATTTAGAATCGGCATCTTATCGTTTCGTATAATCGATCTTTTAGAAAGCTGGGACTTTATTTCCAGGTTGCACTTTGAGAGAACAGTCTGTGATCGAATAATCAACTACGAATGTTGTATTCATACGCCAATCTTATAGCTTCAACGTCTGTTTTCAACGTTGGATTTAGATAACATGCAAAGTTTAATCGAGTAATCAATAAATTACTTAACTCGTCCCTCTTGTACACCGTTTGTATTACAACTCGTGTATTTCAAAACGTATCTAACTCGCTTTCGCTCTTTAGTTACATTTAAAAAATTCACTCATTGTATAAACACGGTATGTTACGGTACTCGTTTAGGAATCTTTATATATCCACTTCGACATTCAAGCAATGTCTTCTCACAGTTAGTTACATCTATGTTACATATCTATTCTGCTTTTTTATAATCACTTTTGGAAGTAGAGTGTACCATCAATCCATCTTTGTTTAAAAACGTCAAGAAACAGGGATTTGTTACCGACATCTTGACAAATGCCAATCTGGTTTATAACCATACATCTTTCTTTGTTTAGAGGGGGGCACGGCTGGCCCAGTCGTCTAAGGCGCCGCGATTCGCTGTGCAGAGTTGCGCCCCTTGGTCACGTCAGAAACCTATGATTGTGGGTTCGAATCCGGGTTCGCCCCGGTTATGTTTCTAGGTTTTTCAGCACCATACCCGTGATCGTGGGTTTCACCAAAGTGGTAAACGTCTGAGACCTGCATCACTTCGGGCTTTCCTCCCACATTAAGCTGACACGCCGTGATATAACTGGACTACTGTTAAAAGCGGCGTAAAACCCAACTCACTCACTCAATCACTTTGTTTAGAGACGTCGGGAAACTGGGATTTGTTATCGACTTCTTGACCAATATATGCCTCCAAAACCATATAAGAAAACAGATTTCTAAGCATATCATAGAATTGAAATGGATTCTTGTCAACCGTCATTGATAGAACCGAAGATACATCCAGGCGATAAAACCCTTTCCATATTCATAAGAAATCTCTGCTGATTCCGATTACACCATTAGCGAGATCTTGATTTTTAATGAGATTGATCAAATCAAAACACGCAGATAACTGGTTACAGGACAGCCATTTTGTGATTAAGTACGGTCACATGTACAACTTAAAATTTAAAACGTATTAAATCGCCAGCAAGTGTCTGTTGGTAAGTGACATTGGCACTGACTAATATACTGAACAGCATTGAAAACACACCAGCAATAAATCTTGAAATATTACAAAAACAACTTGAGCAATCACCGATTTTAATTAGAACAGACATAGACGGATTATTAGGAAAGACGACAAAGGAAACAGGAATACCACACAGTAAGTACATTTACGTCATCAGTGTAAGGAAGACACATAGGGTTAAAATGAAAAGTCAATATCTGGTATGTCCGCCATTGGCGGCAACACAGGCCATGCAACGTCTTCTCATTGATCGAATAAGTCTGCGAATAGTGTTCTGGGGCATTCCACTCTAGACATAGTGTATCTTTAAGATCTCTCAGGTTCCTTACTTGCGGACGACGTGAGAGGCGTTGAACCAGGTAATCCCATAGATGTTCAGTTGGCGATAGATCGGGTGACAGGGCTGGCCATCGAAGCAGAGGCACATTATTGTTAGCTAGGTACTGTGTTGAAACACGTGTTGTGTGCGCTCTTGCATTATCTTGCTGGAAAGTGTGCATATCCTGGTGCTGATGAAATAATGGGATGACGTGATCTGCCAATATGTTATTCCTGTAGTAAAGGGCATTAACTCTTCCACGACAAACATGGAGCTCTGTTCGATGATTATGACTGATGCCGCCCCACACCATGACACTCCCTCCCCTCCATCGATCTGTCTGAACAACGCAGTCATTGTGGTAACGTTCTCCACATCGACGCCACGCTCGCAGTCGACCGTAAGGAAATTCCGTAAATGAAAACGGGACTCATCGGGAACAGCACACCATGCCACTACCGCAATCTCCAATGACGATGCCTTTTGGCCAAACGCAGACGTTCATTTTGATGTCGATCAGTGAGTATTGGTCCAACATATGGACGTCGAGCACGTAGCCCTGCTGAGTGGAGACGTCGACGTACGGTGTCAGCGCTGATTAACCCCGTCGGCCTTGTACGGTTGCTGCAGACCTGGTAGCCGGAAGTGTACGATCACGAAGATGCCGACGAACAATATGGCGATCCTGACGTGGTGTAGTTACACGACGTTGACCCGGACGTGGTCGATCTCTGGTGGTTCTTGTCTGCAAGTATCTGCTCAATAGCCTGAGGACTGTTGAATGATGGCATTGAAACCGTTGTGCAACGACTCTACTTGACGTACCAACTTGAAGCACGTTCACGTTCCTCTGCTGTTAATTTTAGCATTTCTTGTGTCAGCACCCTTTACGTCTGCAGCAACAAGTGATGTGGCTTTTAAAAGTCTGTCTTTTATAACCCTATTCTGCATGCTTCCCGTGAAACAAAACACGTTTTCCATGATGTGCACGCAGTGTGTTGCGTTTTGGCGATTTCGCTCACAAATTAGGAATGTGTTTTGACTAGCTGTTCTTCTTCATGCTTCGTCCAGAACGTCGTTTATTACCCATTCACTTATATATTTTCATATGACTTAAGCCCAGATAAAAATACATCCATTTTCATTGTGGTGCGTTTTCAATGCTGTTCAGTATATATAGTGTACTGTTGTCACCTATGCGTCCGCGTGACTCTCCACAAGTGAAAGTGCATCATGGTTTTAATGACTAAAGACTATTATTTTGATATTAATGATAACAATTATCACTTTAATTTGTTTAAATCAACGATGGTCAATTCTGACTCGAAACCCGACAGACAAGGACAACTCCATGTTTGGCACTAATTTCTGATATCTTAGACTTAATAATGATAACAAGTACCCCAATTATTTGTCCAGAACCCTGATGGTCAATAGTTTGTTTGTAAACATTGAAAGTAGTCCCCACCTCTTTTTTATTTGAATATAAATACGTAAATTACACAAACCGTTGTTATCCGTTGGCTTTATCCTACCGAGACATCTACCCACTATAGAAAGGTCCACGGTAAAAAAGGCACCTAAGGGTTCTTCATTCGCAGAGGAGAGTTTTTCCCGGAAACTTATATGATAGTAGGTTTAAATCCCAGTTTCACCAATATCTAAGATTTTCTCAACGAAGCTGACCAGCCCTGATATTACTGAAATAATGTTCAGTTAGGAATAGAAACCAACTCCCTCTCACAAATTAATCTGAAGCACATTTCAAAATATTTTATTGAACATAAAGACTCGTGTATAATATACCTACTTAAGTCATAAATGTATGTTGGTCAGTGATAATCAGTATTGTTCTGACATGCCGTAATTGTACTTGATGTCACTTGACATGTTGCCATACTAAAATGTCAGACACTGCACGCTATCCTGCACTCCTTGCACAAAACCATGACTTAGACTATAAGAAACATTAGGTCATTGAGTATACGAAGACGTTTACAAATCACTTACATATGACTTACATTGTCTGTCAGTGACAACCAGTATTGTTCTCCAGGCGTGTGACAGAGGATCATACACTGACGATATCCTTCACTCCTTGCACAAAACCTAACTAAGACTAAATAATCAATGTATGTTACCTAGTGGTCATAAAAGGATTATTTCCAATACTACTAACAACACATTGGTAACCATTAATGTTTCTCTCTGATTACTTACAGCTATTCATACAACATACGTATACAACCACACATAGTGTGGTGAACAGATGAGTTCCCGTTCATTTTTCAGTTACATCACGGCATTGTTAAAAGTTCACAGCTGCACTCATTGCACTGGACAGCCCTGCGACACAAGAAGGTCATAAACCGCACCTTGTCTTGTACGCTTGGCTATCATGGCTGCTGTTTCCCCATTCTCGTTCCTGGCGTTAATGTCTGTCATGTTCTGTGAGAGGATATGCTTCACCATCTCCACATGTCGACCATATGTGGCCAGATGAAGGATGTTGTCACCATAATCGTCAACTGAGGAAATTCTTGCATCTTTACTCGCAAGAAGATCAAACACTTTTCTACGTCCATAATACGCTGCACTCATCAGTGCTGTCCTTCCCAAAGTTCCTCTACTGTTAATGTTGACTAGGTCGTGTGACAGGATATGCTTAACCATCTTCACATGTCCTTCATGTGAGGCAACATGAAGTATGTTGTCGCCGAACTTATTCACTAGAGACATATTAGCTCCCTTACTTACGAGAAACTCAAACACGTCTCTGTGTCCATGATACACAGCCTTCATCAGGGGAGTTTTCCAAGACTTTTCTTTACTATTAATATCAACGCCGCATTGAGAGAGTACATATTTCACCATGTCCACATGTCCCCCAATGCAGGCTAAGTGTACGATCTTGTTGCCGTTATGATCCGCCAGTAATATGTTAGCTCCTTTTCTTATAAGAAGATCAAATATTCTTCTGTGTCCCTTCTGTGCGGCCATCATGAGTGGTGTCCTTCCTTGCCTCTTGTCTCTACTGTTGACGTCGACACCACCTCGGGACAAGATGCGTCTCACTCGGCCCAGGTCCCCCTTCCTACAGGCATTGTGCAGTGGGATGTTCTCTAAAGTTGCCTGCTTGTCAAGTGTATGTTGAGGAGGTTTCTCTGGGTAGTTATGCTTCCCATCTGTAGATGAACATGTTATAATGGTAACGTGCATTTTATACTTTTGTCTAACTGCGCAGGGCTATCATATTTTATTGGCTAGAAAGTTCACAACACGTTTTCTCCGGACTCCGGGGTCAGTTGTAACCACCTTTAAAGCCATTCATGTAACTTGGACAGGGAAACACCATCCAGAATGTGACAGTTGCTGTAATGATTGGGAGTGTGACGGAGACTACATTTGATTACACTTGATGTTTCTTTTGAAAATGATACTACGAATGTATTCCTTCGGAAGTCCTTCTGCTACAAGTTTAATGTGGAATACATTACAGATCCTAATTTTACTTCTTCTGAACGTCTGTCAAACATTGTCAGTACCTCGCTATTTTTCTAAAAGAATTTCACTGGTTGTGTTGTCAAATACCAGTATTCCCATCCTATCCCGTCAATGCAAATACAACCCATTAGATAAGATTTTACCATAGCACTGACAATTAAGACTTTCTGAAGTTGAAAGCAAATCTGTGACCCGCTCTGCATCGTCTTCAATGGCAAAAGTTAATGCTGAATGGAACAATCATATATCTATCTACTCACAGTCTGTGCACGCCGTGATATGACTGGAATAATGTTAAAAGCGGCGTTAAACCCAACTCACTCACTCACTCACAGTCAGTGCCATGATCAGACCTCTCTGCCTTGACTAAATAAAACAGATGAGCAAGAAAGGGCATACTAGTTAGATGCTTGACTCAGATGTAAGGTGAACATGTGCCACTCTATAGAAAGTATTCGTCTCAGATGCAATAACATCAATGATTATGACCAAGAATGTCACTTCAATGACGTACGTAAATTGTAGAGTGAGTGTTATCTAACTCAGTCCGGAGAGTAGATGGAAGAAAATGTGAGAAAGACCAGCCATTACCTTGAACACAAACAGCTTTTCCAGATCGCGTCTCCAAACATCGTAGCCCGGGACTGCAAGTTTTGGATGCACAGACACCAGTCGGGACCTTCAAACAGGAGGAAGAAGGAGAATATGAGGATATCTCCTAGCTTTGTCCTGTTATTGAATCCCATGAGCTAATATCGTTCACAAAACATTTATTCATGTACTACGTCTCGATCATTACATCTCATGCTTGATATTTTTCAATGATATATATTTATCATTACCTGCCTGTCGTGTAATTTGTAATGTACTCACTGTGAACAAATCAACTGAGTATACAGGATTCCGGTATTAACACATTTACTCAAATGACGTACAGATAACTCACATCAGAATGACTCCTTGGAAGACTAATGTATCCGTCCTTCTTCTTGATCTTCTTTGATTCATCTCTTGATAAACGGCAGGTTAAAGTTTCAATATTGTACTCAAAATGCAAACATGCTCCACTTTCAATACACTTTAGCTGGCACAACTTGATGCCAATGTTTCTGATAGTGACATACCCCTGCCTCAAAGTCTCAACCGTCTTAGGTCTACACTGCATTGTGCTTGAAGTGGAAAATACAAACATCAGAATAACTATTAATTCCAGGAGAAGTTTCACACAGTCTCTTAAATATCTTGGTATCATCTTACAATGTTCACAGTGGATCACCAGCTATGTTAGTTGTTGTTGTGCGACTACAACGGGATGGTTCACGTTCAGGTGGACAGTTAACAACAATGTATTGAGGCGACCACCAAGTAGAAAGGGAACACAGGACTATGGACACCAATGTATGGCGGCTACCACCAGGTAGACAGTGAACACAAGACTATGGACACTAATGTCAGGAGACTACCACCAGGTAGACAATGACCCAAGACTATGAACACCTTTATCTGGAGACTACCATCAGGTAGACAATGAACACAAGATTAAGGACACCAGTGTATGGAGACTACCACCAGATAGACACTGACCCAAGACTACAAAGACAAATGCCATATATCACTACCACTCAGTTGATAAGCCAACTGAAACTAACATCCACAGATTATTACAAGGTGCACAGCAAACACAGCAAATACTGTCACTGATATCTGTAGACAACTCGTCGATTATTTGTTCCTGACTGTTCACCAGTCAAGGGACATCACGTGACATTACACGTCCTTGGTATGTTCCAGAACAAGAGATGCAAATAAGAGCAACAATCCTTTTATCATTTCTGAGACTGACAATAGAAAGTGTTGTACTTCGTGTGTTTTTTTTTACAAATATTGGTATCAATTGCCATACGTTTAACTCTTTACTGCGTCTATGTATTAATATACGTGAACCAGCAAACGATAGATAAGCTATATCGCTTAGGATGTTCCAAATGATGCACCATCGACGTTACTGCCGCTCGCGTACTGTTTTTTAGCCTGATGTCATCCCAAAACGATAATTAAACATCGATCTCTGCTACATTAAATATTTGGTATAGCAAAACCGACTTCCCCTCTCATCAACTGAACCTCCAACCTGAACTTCAGTACCTTAGACAACTAGGCTACCCACACCTTAGGACATTCGGCTATCCGCACCTAAGATCACTGAGCTACCACACATCAGAATCTTGAGCTATCCATACCTTAGGCCACTGAGCTACCCTTACTCGAGGGTCCACTTGCACAAAGTGATCTAAGCGCTAAGATGATCATAACTCCCATACTTTAACATGGGCTTACAATAGTCTTAGCGCTAAGATTGCTTTGTGCAAGTTGGCCCAGATCACTAAGATATCCTTATATGAGACCACTGAGCTACCCCTACCTTAGGCCACTGAGCTACCCCTACCTTAGGCCACTGAACTACTCATACCTTCGATTAATGAGGTATCCCTACAGTGAGATACCCTTACCTTAGATCACTGAAATACCCTTAACTTAGATCACTGAGCTACTATTACTTTAGATCACTCAGCTAGTCTTACCTTCGATTACTGAGCTGACCGTACCTTAAACCCAAAGCTACCTGTACCATGAAATACTGAGCTACATTTTATTCATTGTTAGGCGGTGTAGATAATTCTTCACACACAAAGAAATCATCACATCTGCGATGTCGGTTAATGCTTTTGGCCATGATGAAAGTTGGGGGCCCTTTCAACCTTTTTTCATATTTTCCACTTTCCCCTTTTCATGGGTTATTTGTGAAAACCGTATGTCAGTAGAATCTACAGTTCCCAGACAAATGCATTCAGTATGCATGGAACTGGGTGCCACATTTCCCTGTGGTACGTTAGTCATTGTTTATCAGAAGACCATTGACAGTGTCGTTATCCAGGAGCAATAAATCTGCCCCTTTGGAAAAACCATGGTTAGAAAAAAATATCAAATTCCCTTTCTTGATTGTATGTGCGTATTGGCTTAAGTACGAGACTTGGAACGTCTTCGGTATTTCTTGTCTACATTCTGAAATATGCCATGTCTTCAACGATTTTATCTGAATCCTTACCTAGTTGTCTACAGCTGACACACCACCTGACTTTGGCAGACAGGGTTGTGCATTTAATTTCCATTGTTGATCAGCACAATCCCTTAATAGCATCATTATGTACCAATCAGTCCATAAAATCACTGTTGATAGTTTCAGAAGAAGGGATCAAAAAGACATGTCTGGTGCGAAAAATACTTTCTGTTTCTGTCAATGTCATGTGATGTCAAATATAACTCTTTACTGTGTCCACTGAGCTATCCACACCTTTGACAAGTGAGTACCAACACCTAAGACCACTGAGCAACCCAATTCTTAGGCGAATAAGCTGCCCACGACTTAGCCCACTGAGGTATCCGCACGATGTCTTCAACGATTTTATCTGAATCTTTACCTGGTAACAGCTGACACACCACGTTACTTTGATAGACTGGACAAGGATGTCCCTAATAGCATCATTATGCACCAACTAGTCCACAATAGCACTTTTCATGGATAGTTTCAGAAGAAAGGATTAAGTGAGTGAGTGAGTGAGTTGGGTTTAACGCCGCTTTTAACAGTATTCCAGTTATATCGCGGCGTGTCAACTTAATGTGGGAGGAAAGCCCGAAGTGATGACAAAGGATTAAGAAGACACACGTAGTACAGAAACTAGTTATGTCATGCATATCTGTCCACTTTTCACCTTTTGTTTACATCATTACATTACTTCTAGACTACCTATCAACTTAACGGACAGGATAAGTAGGAACACAACAAAGATAATATTTACGTCATGAGATCGAACTATGGTCATTTTAAATTGCAATGTCAGTAAACGACGACTTGGTGTCATCTAATGACGCATAAATAAGGAAGAGCCAAACCGCCATAACAGACGTGTAGACGTGTAGACGTGTAGACGTGTACCTTTTGAATGTTGGATAAGTTATGATAGATGGTGTGAGTGAGTGAGTGAGTAAGTGAGTATGGTTTTACGCGGCTTTAACAATATTCCAGCAATATCACGGCGGGGGACACCAGAAATGGGCTTAACACATTGTACCCATGTCGGGAATCGAACCCGGGTCATCGGCGTGGCGAGCGAACGCTTTAACCACAAGGCTACCTGACCGCCCCTATGATAGATGGAACAGTAAAGTTGGCTGAATGTTGCCTTGAACGTCATTTCAGTTATATGTGTAAATCTAAATGTACATACTCTGTCTCCCTTGGGCACGCCAGGTTTCGAATCCCGGTTCGCCCAAATTATGTTTCTAGGTTTGTCAGCACCATACCCGTGCTCGTGGGTTTCACCGAAGTGGTAAACGTCTGAAACCTGCATCACTTCGGGATTTCCTCCCCCATTAAGCTGACACGCCGTGATATAACTGGAATACTGTTAAAAGCGACGTTAAACCGAACTCACTCACTCACACATACTCTGTGACATTTTCCGGGATCATGATATTCAGGCTCATTCTCTGAAATTAAATTTTACGATCATACGCTTTTGCTGTATAGTTGTCACTGTGTCACGCTAGACACCTGGGATCATTGGTTCGAGTCCCGGTTCGGTTTCTAGGTTTGTCAGCACCATACTTGGGCTCGAGAGTTTAACCTCTGAGAGCTGCATCGCGTAAGGCTTTGCTCCCACATTAAGCTGACATGCCCTGATATAACTTGAATATCGTTTAAAAGCGGCGTTAAACTCACTCTTTCACTCAAGAACTGCATCACTTCGGGCTTTCCTACCACTTTAAGCTGTCATGCCCTGATATAACTTGAATATCGTTTAAAACCCAACTCACTCACTTCGCTTGACATGGAATGGATGAGATAATGCAAACAGTATATCATTTGGTTAGTATCTACACGCGTGCTGACATGTTTCGTTACTTCTGCAATATAATAGAGAAAGACATATTCAGCTGTGCATTTGTACGTATGGGACGGCAAATAAGCGTTTTTAACACCGTGAACAAAAGCTATGAGGAAAACTTTTTGAAACACAATAGGGAAAGCGAATCTCAGAGGCGCATTTGTACGCACAGGGAGGGAAATGAATATTAATCACACAATAAAAACTAGGAGGAAAATATTCTGAAACCTAATTCATGTGCCATGTACAAAGGGCACCAGCATGGCTTTGTGACAGTACGTACTTCCTCTACATATGTTTCCTCTGTTGATATCACATCAAACGTAGATCTCATAAATCACTTCACCCAACCACTGATAACAAAATCCCTCCATTGAACACACGTTCAATTGAAACTTCCTCTATAGTAGCAGTAGTCTATACATTGTTGAAAAACACGCACATGCAATTCAGCGTGTTTAGCATAATTGATCTCCCACAAGATATGAAGTATATTACTCAAAGTTCGATAAGGATCACCACTAAAACAGGTATTGCCTCAAATTGTGTGCATCTGTTCAAATAGCCAAAGAATGTTTGTGTGTGAAGAAATGTTTAATGAACAAAAGTCAGTTGTCATGTGCCGCACATTGCCAATAAACAATATGTGACCAATCCGTCAGATCACACGTCAAAATGAAAGTATCTGACCAAAGCTAAAATTTCAAAAACTAATTGTTTTTGTGAAAAACCAAAACTCTTAGTAGCGTATGAAATACACGAGATGCGATCACGGCCTGGCATCATCGTCTCATGCTCCGGATAAGTCTCTGGATGATTGGCAAGGGAAGATTGTGCCACTCTTCAGTAAAAACATCGCCGAGTTCATGTAAAGATCCCAGAAGGATAGGGCGTCGTGAAAGGTCAATCCGCAGCTCGATCCACATGTGTTCGTTAGGGTTGAATTCTGGTGATCAGGCTGGTCACTACATGCGAACAGTTGTCTCCTGCTCTTAGTAGGCATCGACGAGCATGCCACGATGAGGTTGTGTGTAACCGTCCATGAGGATGAAGTCAAGTCTGATCGTGAAAGGTCAATCTGCAGCTCGTTCCACATGTGTTCGTTAGGGTTGAATTCTGGTGATCAGGCTGGTCACTACATGCGAACAGTTGTCTCCTGCTCTTAGTAGGCATCGACGAGCATGCCACGATGAGGTTGTGTGTAACCGTCCATGAGGATGAAGTCAAGTCTGATCGTGAAAGGTCAATCTGCAGCTCGTTCCACATGTGTTCGTTAGGGTTGAATTCTGGTGATCAGGCTGGTCACTACATGCGAACAGTTGTCTCCTGCTCTTAGTAGGCATCGACGAGCATGCCACGATGAGGTTGTGTGTAACCGTCCATGAGGATGAAGTCAAGTCTGATCGTGAAAGGTCAATCTGCAGCTCGTTCCACATGTGTTCGTTAGGGTTGAATTCTGGTGATCAGGCTGGTCACTCCATGCGAACAGTTGTCTCCTGCTCTTAGTAGGCATCGACGAGCATGCCACGCTCGATGAGGTTGTGTGTAACCGTCCATGAGGATCAAGTCAAGTCTGATTGCACCAGCGGTCTCACATACACATCTAGAATGTCTTCCCTACACCATACAGCTGCCATTGTGCCGCGCTGTTAGACACAGAATAGGTTCTTTCAGCTCTACTGATCCCAGCCCCCTCCAAAGCGGTCATGTTCGGCTACGTGGGAATCACCGAATCTTTCTCCTGGTCTAGTCACACTCGGGCACGACGATTTGTGAAGTCTAGAGAGTATCTTGGATCACCATTGAAACAAACTGGACCCCAGTCCAAACGTGCCTGCCTAGGGCGTCGGGTCAGTGGGATGCGAATGCATGGCCTCCGTGACCGGCGAACAGCAGCACGGAGACGATTACAGATAAATATTTTCCCATTTTCCCATTTTCCGTGACTGGCGAACAGCATCACGGAGACGATTACAGATCAATACTTTCCCATTTTGTCATTGTATGTAATCTTTTCCTGACCGGCGACAAGCATCACGGAGACGATTACAGATATATATTTTGCCATTTTGTCATTGTATGTAATCTTTTACGTGACCAGCGACAAGCATCACGGAGACGATTACAGATGAATATTTTCCCATAATCTTTTCACCGACACCCATGAAAGCAAAAGAAGATAACGTATGCTGAATTCACAGGAATTCATTATTTGTCAGTGAGTATAACATATGGTCTCTGTAAAGTATTAGAGACATCTCTTACTTACACTATCTCTGGATCGTATATAACACAAACTTAACAATAACGAGTTCCTGTGTTGACTGTTGTTACCATGAAGCCTTATAAAACAAAACCACAATATCATCATTTTGAGATATCAGAATTTTAAAATTGAATGTTTTGTGCGCTTTATGAGCATTTGAGAAAGGAGATCATTTGCACTGGTAATCTCTCTTACAAATGTGTGGTTCAGTATTGCTCCTGTTGAATTATAAAGATTTGAACAAAAATACAAAAGAGAACTATCCTAAAATTGCATCAATTTTAAAAACATTTTCCTAAAACAACAGTTAATACAATAAACCACAACATAAAAATATACGCATCTGCATGACTAGATTTATTATTAATCGAATCTTTTATTTGAATGCTAGAATGAACTTAACCTAGGAATATGTGGTTGGCGTATTTACTTTTGATAGCAGTGGATGGTTATTTTTGACATTACTATTTTGACACTTTTAGGCCATGTGGGTTGGAATTTTAGCCAGATATCTCTCTATTGGCGTCCTACGGAACCATACTGTGTGGTTGCTGTAAGGCAATACATAAAGCGACAAAATCCTTTCCATATCCAATCGATCCAGAGTCGATTGTATGATTCAGACAATATCATGAACATGTGTTTATGAATCACAATCAGATACCTTTATAATTGGGAATGCACGCCTAACTCAATTTGTAAATATGTTTCTTGCTTGGCTCAGTATGGCTTTATGATATATCAACTTGTTCGGCCAACACACACAATTGCTATCTCTGCATGGGCGTTTCGGTGTAGAGCTATCCTCTACACATCCTGATACATTCAAATGGTTATCATCCATTGTGATAACTTACACAAACTTTTTCCTCTTAACAATCTATTAGCATAGATTTCATATAGTTTACACAGGGACCTCCCCATCCCGGACGCATAAAAGCATTGACCTTAACAACATGCTACCATAACATCCTCGATTAGAGATAGGAATCAAACGTAGAGGCAATCAGATTTTCGTGTACAAACAGAAAGAAGTCTAATATGAGACAAATATTCTCTCTCGAATGGTTTGTCATTTTCATATGGGCTTTTGGTCAAGAAAACTACATTAATGCTCAAGGTATGTGACCTTTTCTCTCATAAACAGTAAGAGCTCGCGTGGGTACGTGTGTTTGTGCGTGGGTACGCGCGTGAGTATGTGTGTGCATGTATGTGTGTGTGTGGTTATGTAATTCCAAAAACCATGCATATGTGATGTAGTGTGAAAGACACTTTTCTAAACTGGTGGAAAATACTGCAAACTTAAAGTTCAAAACACAACAAGGATACCAGTATTAAAAACATCATCGATAACCACGTGTTGTTTGTTTCAATTTTAGCTACCATCAAACGTGGGTGTATGCATTCTTTCGCCGGGCAGTTTAGTGACGTTAATGTTTGCTTTGTGTACCTTTGCATTAGATCTTTGATTTTACCTACATCATTTATACTTTTGCCCGGCAGTTTATTACTGTTTGGTGAAATCTTAGGGATTCACTTTTCTCAGCCTTGTACAAAATGCTTAGCATGAAACTTCAATTTTGTAGTGAGTGAGTGAGTGAGTGAGTGAGTGAGTGAGTTGGGTTTAACGCCGCTTTTAACATTATTCTAGTTTTATCACGGCGTGTCAGCTTAATGTGGGAGGAAAGCCCGAAGTGATGCAGGTCTCGGACGTTTACCACTTCGGTGAAACACACGAGCACAGGTATGGTGCTGACAAACCTAGAGACATAATCGTGGCGAACCGGGATTCAAATCCACAATCACAGGTTTCTGGCGTGCCCAAGGGACGCAACTCTGCACAGCGAATCGCGGCGCCTCAGACGACTTGGCCACCCGTGCCCCCTTCAATTTTGTAATATTGTTACAGGATGTGGAGGCCGCTACACGGGATCTTCAGGATCTTTCACTTCTCCCAACTATCCACACAATTATAACAACTCGCTGTCGTGTACCTACACCATCGACCCCGGCTCCACCACTGTCACTCTCATATTTCAGTATTTTGAGACAGAAATAAAATATGATTTTGTAAAGGTAAGCATTTCAATCAAATGTTGCGAATAAGTGAATGCGCGTATAAAACGTTACATTGAAAGTGTAGGCGGGACAGCTATTCGCCTCATTTCCAACATGTACAACTATGCAGAAATATTCATGTGTTCAATGTCTTTCGCTTGACTTGCAAGCCATGGAGCATGAGTACATTACGATGTAGCTTAGCACTTAAACAAACCTACACCCTCCTTGTGACACACACATGTAAACATTTCATCAATAAGAAATATCTGCTAAACGAGAGTCCATTGTACGATTCCGACTATACTACAAGCATGTGATAATGAATCACGATTTTATCAGTACAAGTCAAAGTTTCATGATGTATTTTAGGTGAAATATCTGTGAGTGACAAATAAATCTATTTTGTGACCACCATCGGACGTTTAGCATGTCTTATGTAACAGAAAGTGCGAACAGGGTCATTTGCGACATGACAAGCAAGTGACGTCACATCAAACATTATGACGTCATGACACCGTACTGGCCGGCTACCCGACTTGTACAAGACAGCAACAGGCCAGTCAGATATTAATGAGTAATTAAGGACTGCTTATTGCAATTATTTGGAAAATTAATGTTGAAACCACTGAAATATAATATGTATTCATATAATTAACTCACAGATATCTGAAAGCCCGATTTGCAAGCGAGGAACTGGACTCTGCCATGTTGAAAGCTTTCCATTAAATGGCCTACCTTTAGAATACAGTCCCACAAACTTCTCAAACACGTGATCATACCCTACGACGTAATTTGTAATATTTTGTTGCCAGTCACACCGGCGAAACAATGCCCTGTGACGTCAGGGGTCATCGGGTGTGCATAAGCTCCTCCCAGTGATCTATCATCTCTACATGAAATGCCATTGAATACGCCAAGCAGTGTGGAGAGTTTTGAATATTTGTTTACTAAATATAGCCTGCGGCGGCGCATTTTACAGCAAGCGCTAGCTTACGAAAGCACTTTTATTTTTTTTTTATTTTTTATTTCGTTTTTCTCGTAATTCAAGTGGCAAAAATGGTTATAAATGGGAAGTAATATACATATATTATTTTTTCGGTTCATTAATTTTCATTATTATGCACAAGAACGCAGTTTATTAGGGATATTATATTGGCGCTGAACACATCCAAATGTCGCCAGTGTTAGGGTAGGTTACCCCAAACTCTATCCTTAGCCCTTGGATCCCCTTTACGATCAATCACCCCTTTACGATCAAAAGAGTTAGGTACCCGTTTAGTGGCTATTAGATTACCCGAACTCTGTCCTTAGCCCTTGGATCCACTTTACGGTCAATCATCCCTTTACGATCATTAGGGTTAGGTAAATCTACCCGTTTAGTGGCTATAATAGATTCTATAGCGGCTCCTAATATTCTTCACAGAAAAACGTCGAGTAAAAAGTATGAAATGGTTTTGTGTCGAATACTTTGGCTACTGGAAACTGTCCTGGAACATTCACACAAGCCACTTTCACCGGCTACATTTTTTCAGTACTGATTCAAAAGCGAACTCACCGTTGTGTCGTCACTAGTCATGCTTATTCCTCCCTCGTTCCTTATTATTATCCACATCATCCTTACAGTGTTCACTACCACACTTTTCTGTCACAAAAATCACCATATCATTCATGCGTACTCGCGAGTTCGACGTCTGACGTCTGACGCCTGAAGCCGTTTTCAGTTCGCGGCATATCGGCTCATTCCTCACCACTCGGTATCTTGTAGATTACGGAATGAGACGAGTGTGCCAAATGGCATCGGGATCATTCGTAAGTGTCCGTAGACTAAAGTCACGAGACACCATGCCTACCCGTAACCTTCGTAAGTGTCCGTCACCTATTCGACCCTTTTCGTTCAGTTCCGTGACGTCATAGGCATGACTAGGTAAATTTGCACTAAGTTCAACAGTGTGGACGTAGCTCAGTCGGTTAGCTGTCGGGCTAACAATCCGAAGGTCGCGGGTTCGCGTCCGACGGATTCTCACAAAAACTGGTTGCTTTCTCTTGAGACGTGTGACATACGGTAGAGATCGTCCTCACGAGAAGTTGTAGTACTGTATTCGAAAGGTGCTCCCATTAAATAAATTCATTAGTTAAAGGCGAGAAAAATCATTTCCATATTCATAAGAAATCTCTGCTAAAATTGATTGTTGATTGTACGATTCCGACCATATGATGAGCATGCGTTTATGAATCGCTATTAAATAGTTGCGATACGAGGTGTTCGCGAAACCACCCGTCAAAAACACATGCAAAGCAAGTCAATTGTTTACGTGAAATAACACGGAACTTATGGTACAAATCAAAATGGAGAATTGCATTGGACATCATTTTGGTCACTGATGCGTCATGTCCTCCACATGTCTACAATAAAACGTTCGGAAAAATTTACTGAGGCCTTGAAAGCTGTCACCTTGATCAAACATCTTTAAAGCAAGTATCGTATGTTGCTCTTTGAATCTTGGTAGAAAGAGCATGCACTACTGTACCTCAAAAGTTGTGAAATGTAGACATCAAGGTCTGGGTCTGATTGAATATTGCTTGACAAAAAGGGAAAGTTGACTATAGGGAAGACAAAGTCATCCCTGTTCTCGTACACTCTTGTGGAGAGTGTTTTATCCCTCTGAATCTTTATGCATAGATCTAAATATGAAACAGATAAAGCGCGTCTCACTGGTCTCCTTTATTTTAAGTTCAGGTGGGTGAATCAGTGGAAGGGAACTGACAATTTGATGGTTATGGAACGGTATCTAATTGAAGTTAAACTATGAGAAGCATTTCAGATTCATATGCAAAAATAAACAGAGTTGCAAGAAGGGGGGCACAATTCTTGCCTAAGTGGCTTACCATCAAATAAAACTATTGAACACAAATGTTCACAATATCAGCCATATTTACTGGAGGGAGTATAGAAGTGTCACTGATCATACTTGACTTCATCCATTTAAATATGATCAACGGAGTCATCCAGTTCCATCGTTCATTTCACCACTTAGCTATTGGATACTTCTTATTTCATACTGCACTGCTCACCGCTACATCAGGCACTCTCAAGTATCTTTTTACGAATCGATTGAACGCACTTACTGGCCAAATTACCTATCTTTCACTTTGACAATCCGAGCGGAAGTTCCGATTTATACGCGTAAAAAACAGATCAACAAGAAGGGGAGCACAAATGGTGCCCATGGGGATGCCTACTTCTTGCCTAAATGTCCTACCCCCACATTTTACAATGTTACTATGATAAGGGTGATATATATCTAGCACATCTACATATATGTATATATGTTACGTTAATGTAATTGAATATATATATATATATATATATATATATATATATATATATATATATATATATATATATTATATACAGCAATTTTGCACATGCATACGAGTAACTGCTGATAATTACTCTATCAATTTGTATACCTTTTAAGTTACAATACTCCCAAAGAAATATGTCTGAAATAGTTTTCGCAATAACTCTTCTGTAGCAAACTATCTCATATATTGAGAATCAAGACGACCTTTAAACATATTTGCTGTACAAATCTAATTGGGTTTAATCCAAATGTAAATGAGAAGCTATCGGAGTTGTTAAACCCCGGATGCCATAATAAACTGTTGTCAAAAGGGAAGTATTCCGAAAGAAATGTTTTTAATATTTTAATAACTTACCAAAAATATCACATAAGTGCGTCCTACGAATACAACCAAATGCATTCGATGATGAAAAGCAGGGAAAATTGACATTTGTTGTGAAAATCGTGCATTTTGTCACAACGACTTTGTGCTACGTGGAACGAAATGCATATGCAAAATTGTTGTATAAAACTGGTGACACGGCACGTTTTGAACGCACCAAAAAAAAATGCCACGTTTAGCAGAGGGAGAGAGCCGTTGGCATGGCGGAACAAGGAGCCTAGCCCGTTGTCATTGCAAGAACGTTTTGATGCGCCAGTGTCACCATTACCAGATTGATGCAACGTTTGCAGCAGATAGGACAGGCATCAGACTGGAGTAGAAGCGGGAGACCAAGGGTGACAGCGGGTGACCACGCCCACTGAAGACCACCACATGCGGACCATTCATCTCCGAAACCGCTTCATTACAGCGACGACAGCGACGGAACAGAGTCTCGTTATTATACAGGGAAATCTGAATACCGAAAGATATGGGGATGAAGTTTTGAGACTATTCATTCAGCAACAGCCCAGTTTAGACACTATGTCAAAACACAATTCTCATGAAATATATACATTTTGACTTCCTACATGCTGTTGTTTGTCTTAACTGATATTCCAATTATGATTGATGATACTGATACAGATTCAATTAATTTATGTCCATCCTAAGATGCTGTTTGTCAAGTGATGTCAAGCGTGCTGAAGTTTTACAAGCAATAGATTAAAAAAATGTAGTTTAAAAATAGTTGTAGCGCCAGGTGAGACGGTATTCTATCTGAATTTTATAAGAGAGTGGACGACGTAGCTTTCCTGTTAAGATGTATTGTTTATCCAGATATTAGCTACTGGATATTGTCAGACACAAGACACGTAATTGTTTATCATGTGGTATTGGAAGGTAATCAATTAGTTGTAATTAACTGGCTGGTCTATATACTCACTTTAAAAACAAATTACCTCCTGGGATGGTTTACATTGTGAAAGTATATGCCGCCAATGAAAAAGTACGTGACGCAATGTGATTGGTCAAAAACAGACATATTACCTTTTCCCCAACATCTGAATGTATGATGAGGTTCACACTGGATCACTTTGACCTTGACGTCTGTCAGTGTCAATCCAAAGGCAGATAATTCAGCTCAAAAGCCCTTGTACTAAGAGATTCATTTGCATTAAACTGAATCTAGAAATACCAACACCATTTCAAAAGCTGAATCTATCCAAGTAACTATGAAGCTACCTCATTTATATCCAGCAGTATGCACTCATTAGTTGTAGTAAATAAATATAACGCCCTGACACTGGTCTCTGTATTGTAGCAACATTACACACATATGAAAAAAAAGGTTTGTATTCATTGAAATTCTAGTGCAGGCAGCTTTGATATCAAGAGTATTCTTTTATCATATGAAAATATTATAACAACCGCAGGTTGTATATGCCTTTTTTTGACAATACAAGTCTTCTATAGAGTTGATGTTTGATAAATCATTTACAAAATACATGATTAAAGAATACAGTAATTTAATAATACATGCATAGACCATAAGGCGGGATGTTTTGTAGTCAGGTGGGAGCGGATGAAAATCTATTAATTATTTTTTGTGGCCTTAAGTAGAGAATATGGTATTGTGTAAAACATCGGAAAGCTTATTTTAGCCGAATGCTACACATTGGTCTGGCCTGTGATTATTGCTACAACTGACGGTGGAGACGCGAATAGGTGCAAATACTGCTGTAGCGGCTTTAATCAATATTACTCACTAACTGACGGTATTATTTATTCCCAAGCTTCCGGACACTTTAATGTTTTCACTATTAACATACATTAATGTACACAATTTGTTTGTCAAATTAAATTGAGGGATTTAATTTAAAGTACATAGGAAATAGTAACAACGGGAGAGGCCGTGTTTACACTACATATGACTTATTACATGTAAATTGCATAGAATTTGCAAGATAAGTCGTAATTTTGCTCATTGCTAGAAAATGAGGGGCGTGAAAGAAGCATGACCACAGGACTAATAACGAGCGTATTTTTGTGGCTGGATTTGACAAGTCGCGATTACGAGATTGCGAGATTTCATATCATGTCGAAATGTCACATTCTCGCGTTGTCGACGTTTGACAAAAAGTGCTACATACAAAATACACGAGAATCCGAGATCGCGAGAACGCGAGAAGTTGGCCAAATCTCGCGTTCTCTCACTTTTGGCAAATTTAGCTCGTTTCCAAAGGTCGAGATCGCGAGAATGTCACATAGTATTCCATAGTGTTCTGAGCTCGGTAATAGAGATCGTTAGAGTTTGAATCAGGTCGGCGTTATTTTTCAACATGGTCAAAGACCAAAGATCATGTTTTTTAAACTTAGGAAATCGCTTTATCTTTCTTCGCAACAAGAATTGAAGAGACCCACTGCCCACACACTCTTATTTTCAGTTTTTGTCGAAAACGAAGAGTTGCTGTGTAACTTTGACTGACAAATGGACAATGAAGTTCCGAAACAAAACGTTTCAGGGGCACTGATCCCTTGATCCCTTGATTTGGTGACGAGAAAGTCGCTTTTCTTGTGTTAATTCTTTTTTTTACCTCACCAGCTATAGCTTAGGTCATCACGATTATTGTAAACGGGTGCGTTTTTAGAATGTTTTGGCACGTTTGAGAATATGTGTTGGTGTCTAATGTGACTGTACATTAGTTACACATGACGACAACAACGTCATCTAATGATACTATGTTATGTATCCTGTCAACATATGTTTATCACGCTATTTCACATAGAAACAGAATTGTTTGCTAACAACCACGTCACCTACATGTAAATACGCATTGTACATAAGGCCTGTGGCCTTTTAAGTACTGAATAAACTGATTGGACAACAACGTTGACTTCGTTCTAAATTGGAGAAAAACTGAAATCCGTCTATTAGTTTGGCTCGTAAACGTCGTTCTTGGTCGAACTGCCTCGAAGGAACCTTACGAGCCAAACTAATCGATGCATTTCGGATTGTCTCCTACACTGACGCTGAGTATACAGTTTCGGGATTTGTTTTTATCATGGAGGTGTCATATATATGATATGCATGCTCATTATGGTACACATATGCAACCTTGTACCCTAGGCCTATTGACCTCATAAAAAAAGTTACTCTTAAAAAAGGTAGTAGATCATGAAAAATAAATGTTAGTACCAAGTAATAGAAGAAAGATAAACGTTAACGACCGACATCGTATGCAAAAACGTTATTGTCCTTCAGAACTCAACACCAAAACACATCCTATAGATTCCACGTGCCTCACACAGCAGGGTGTCATTCCTGATTTCGACACTTTCACGATTTACTTGAATTCATTCACTGTTTGTGTATGAACTAGCGATGTCTTCGGGTTATTGGAATGCTTGAAACTGACAGTGGCCCATACGTGCAATATTGCACAGGTACCAACAAACCCAAAACGTTGGCATACAATAGGTGGTTTACTCGGCACGATATAGGACAAAAAAGATATCCTTTGGGGTCATATGCGGATTAGGATGCAAATTTCAAAGGTCAAGTAGGTACCACTTTTACTGTTGTAAACAAACATGGCGTCGCCCTTGTCATTTGGCGACAGAGTCAGAATTAACAATCGGGAATCTGGAGAAACTACTGGGATAATTCTATCGTTATCCAAACAACAGTCTGATATACTGCCAATTAGTCTCTAACTGTGACGTACATGTAGCTGAGTCATTTTACAAGTCTTGGCAACTTTGGAGATCTGAATTGCGAAACAAATTTGCGAGCGCACTAGCCTAACGGGATGAATGTTCATACCTGTGTTCGTAGACCTCTGCGGCTTGGAACCTTTCACAAATTAAAACAGTTAGATTTGGCCGAAATAATTTAGTTTTGTCGCTGAGTGTACATCTGACTGCACTTCGTAACGTTATGACAGGCCAGGCCGACTGTCTACAACGTCTGACGGTGGCCGTGACGTTTCATAGACTAGGGTTAGAGTAGCTTCCCTTTGATAAAGGGCAGTTACTCTATCGAAAGACCTATGGGTTGCCGTGAAGGGCAAGAAAAAGCAATTTGTGAAGGCAATTGTTATTTTGCATAAATGCAGTTATTCCATTGTAAACGAAACAGGTTTCTGTTGGAACTATATTGGCTACTGTCACTGTCCGACTGACACATCACTTACCCTCTGACGTAATATATGTTAATGCGCACATTCCAGGAAAACTTGCAATGGTTAGGTTATGACTGTGAGAGATGAAAAGAGAGACAAGAAACGCTTTTGTGTTTTGGGGTCGTAAATATCCTGTATTAGGAATCACCACAATGAAATAGCTTGTTATAGCTCGCTTTAAACAATGTTTATTCCCAATACAGGATATTTACTATTACCAAACACCCGCGTGATAACCTCTATATATCCTAATGTACGCACCAAATATATCTCTGTTGGAATGAGTATGTCACTATGGCAATGCTTTCGTTTACAGGTGTATGACTCGTTGAACACTTCAATGGAATATCTGTCTGGGAATTACGCATGGCATATCCTCCAGCCAGCCTCTTTCTACCGGGTGCACTTTACCACTGATAGTTCTGTCACCAGTAGTGGATTCAAAGCTGTCTGGACAGGTATGACATCATAATGGAAAAGTTACAATGTAAAAATTGAAAGAGACGTTAATGTGCAACAATTGGCCATACGTCATCTACCTTAACTGTTTTTCGAATACAATTTCAGCATTGCTGGTTTTAAAAACAAAATGTTATCTATAACCTGAATATTTTTACAGATATTGGCAAATATAATGATTTGATTCATGTTGCCTTGACTTGCTGGTTGCATATGCATGATGATATAATCATTAACCCATTTCAGATGCTGCAAATGCCCTTGGTATACTCGGGGGGAACGCTGTTTTATCCTGGGATTTACACCAAACTGGCATAAAAGAGTTTACCGTGCGCAACATTCAATTGGGGACGCTAGTCTATCACGTTACCAATTACAACCAAGTTGATGTTGTTGATAGAAACTTCAAATCTCGAGTTTCTTTCACGGGAAACATAACATCATCTGGAACTGGCGTGTTCAAGTTTACTCTTTATGATGTTAACTTCGAGGATGAAGGGCAGTATGTGTGCTTCAAAGGATCGCAAACGGCGAAAGGCCCAAGAATTATTGATTGTGGACAAAGGCTACACGTATTTGGTAATTACTGAGGTCTAATCTAGTTTTTATATGAAATACACCTCCAGTATCTAGGTTGCCTAGATTTGTAAGTTATATGTATATCAAACATTAAAGCCAGCCCATTTGAATCTCAGCATTATAATAAAAAACCCAACTGTGTACATATTACAATGGCTTAGGTCAATTACTCTTCTTTGGGGCGGTCGGGTAGCCTAGTGGTTAAAGCGTTCGCTCGTCACGCCGAAGACCCAGGTTCGATTCCCGACATGGGTGCAATGTGTGAAGCCCATTTCTGGTGTCCCCCGCCGTGATATTGCTGGAATATTGCTAAAAGCGGCGTAAAATCATGCTCACTCACTCACTCATTACTCTTCACCTGACATGTATTCATGTAACAAGCACCTATAGTGTCCAGTCTGCCACCATGATAATGATAACGACCAACTGAGAAAACTTGATTCAATCAATATGACAGTTTTTATAGACACTTTTTGAATGACCTCTACATAAAATTGACACGCATTTATCTGACATTTGAATCCGAGGTTTCAAATCACAAAATAACATTTGACATCACCACAGGGGAAAGCTTCAAATTAGTGGGGGTGTAGTTCTTTCTCAAGCGGAGTCAGTGGGAATTTCTAAAATATGATGTTAGATATAATGATAAAGAATGCTGCGCTGCGTTACATACAATATCGACAAATTTTAGGTAGAAAACTAGAGAGTGTATTATAAATTCTAGATTTACCCAAAGAGCTGCTTTAACGTAACTTCCATTGTTTGATGACAGAAACAGATGTGGTCGCTCGTGAAGGGGAAAATGCGACTTTGTCTTGGAGGCTTTCTCAGCCTGGAACTGTTGAGTTTACAGTGATGAAGACTGGTTCCAGGCAACACGTACTTCATGTGACTGACTATAATCAAGTCACCGTCAGTGATGCCTACAAGTCCCGCGCCAAGTACACAGGGAATGTTACAGCCACAGGATCTGGAGTTTTCGCCTTCGTAGAGTATAATGTAGTCAGTTCCGGCTATTACAGATGCTTCACAGGTTCACCAGATTCTAATGGGACTCAGATGTCAGAGTGCGGCCAAAGACTTATCATCTTACGTGAGTTCCTTCTATGTAAACGACACACATTCAAACACGTCCATTTCCCTGCAAACATTAGCACACACATGCTTAAGTTACTAAATCGCAAGTGAAAATAAGCTAGCAACTCTTGTGGCAAAGGCCACTATGTACCCACTGAACGTTATGTATGACCTGGTTTACATAATGTATCATCGTAACGTCCTGAGTTGATTCTCACACTATTACCCAGCATTTACTGCCCGTGCTCTGTGTAAGATCGTCCTGATACATGTATTGTTTTGATGCCTGTATTGCCTGATGTAATGTGTTACCAATGTCGGTGGATCACAGAAAGTAATACAGTAATGCATTATACTTATACGTAGGTTTTCTCTGCTCATAATTCTAAATTATATCAATACTTTCAAAGACATGACAAAACGAAAATATTTATTGAAAAACCTAAAAAAATAAAGCCAAATCATTTCTAAACAAATATGCAATTATTTGTGTCTAGCCTGTAAGCTCATGATGATATTTTGTCACAGGGCATCTTCAGGATCCGTACATCTTCGCCCCCCACACAGTCACCTACGGCCGTTCGATAAATCTGACATGCTATACAGATGCTTATACTTCCAGTTTTTCAAATGTGGCTATTCTAACCACGCATATCATGTGGAAAAAGAATGGAATTCTGTTGAATAACCGGGGAAGATATCGCATAAGCAGGATGGACTGGATATATCTCAATAACACTCTGACAATACGTGATGTAAGGCGAGAGGATGATGAAGACATCTACACATGTCAGGCTATGGTGGGACGAACGGTCTCAAACTGGAGTGATGGGTTTGTTTTTGGCCAAAACTGTAAGTATTCATCCCAATCTCACTGATTAACTTATTATCGATTTGATATCCTTAAGTAATTCAAAGTGACTGAGATTGTTGAATTAATTTGCTCAACTTGACCGAGGTCATTTCTTAGAATCAGTAACGGTCCCTAAACAATATTCATTTATAATAGCATTATGTGTATCTCCCCAAAAGCATCGGATAAATTCCAATTCTATTTTAGAGACACTTACATAACTGTATATTGTACAGGCCAAATATTATCAATACTTCTTTTATTTTACTTTATAAGATTAAGCTTTGAGGCTTATTGAAGTCTGCTTAAATAAGTCAATGTATCCAAATACTACCCATGGGAATTATTTTCCATGATAAATAATTAATGTTTGTTTCTGTATTTTATAACAACCCTGTTTTCGTTAAATCATTAATAAAATAAGGTGCCTACCTTGACCTTTTATATTTACATACCGCGGACCTTAATCTTTCCATGCTTGTCGTAAGAGGCGACTAACGGGATCGGGTGGTCAGGCTCCCTGACTTGGTTGATGCATGTCATCGATCCCAATTGGGTGGATTGATGCTCATGATATTAATCACTAGATTATCAGTTTTAGACTCGACTATTTACAGACCGCCGTCATATAGCAGAAATATTGCTGAGTGCAGCGTTAAACAACAAATCAACCAACCAAATCTTAACAATCTTTTCTGTGAGTGAGTGAGTGAGTTGGGATTAACGCCGCTTTTAACAGCATTATAGTTACATCGTGGCGTGTAAAGCTTAATGTCGGAGGTAAGCCCGAAGTCATGCAGGTCTCAGACGTTTACCACTTCGGTGAAACCCATGAGCACGGTTATGGTGATGACAAACCTAGAAACATTATCGGGGCGAACCGGGATTCGGACCAACAATCATAGGTTTCCGGCGTGCCCAAGGGACGCAACTCTGCACAGCAACAAGAGGCGCCTTACACAACTGGGCTACCAGTGCCCCGAGGAATCTTTTGAAATACTGATAATCAAAGGTGACATTTACCCACAAGGCCATACATAAAACATTATGCTCATGAGTTAAAGTGTATGCTGTAGTTGGATGAAAGTCGGAAGAGTACGGCATGAAAGTGATTTTTTTATCATTTATTACGAAGGACACTGGAGTTCGTCATTCATGAGGTAGTTCTGCTCTTCGAGAACTTAACAAATTACCTGTATGATATGTTTTCGTTAGCTAGCAACCATGTTTCCAAAAAGGACAGTCAATTAAACCGGAAGTGCGCATACCGTTCTTTTGAAGGTAGCTAGAGGCATAGGGCTTCTGTTTGTAGGATGTATTTCATAAGATATGTGTTCTCTCAAAAAGGATGCACATTGAACTCTGAGTGGCGGATGCTTCCTGCACAACAAGACATGCAAACATGACCTGTTGTAATCACTGATTTTCAGTGATCTATTCATATAATGTTCATAACTATTTTGCCTTTTACGCTTAATGAAATCTGTTTCGGCGGATAATGATGGCGTCTGGCGATGACATTGTATGTATAAAGAATATTGAATGTTTCTTGTTATTTCGTGTCATGTTATTCTTTCCAAATATTTTTATGAATGTGAATATTGACATATATAACGCATGTATTATAACTGAGAAGGAAACACAATAAAGCATCATCTATACGTTTCTGTTTGAAGATTCCCCAGTGGAGCTTGGGAACCAGACTAACGTCTATGAAGGTGGGGACGCCACCTTAACATGGGAGCTGCCACATAATAGTAACAACATATTCATTCGGAATCACGGGACATTTGACAACCTGCTACACACTGTCTTTAGCAAGGTGTTTGTTACAGAAACCTACTGGCAAAGAATAAAAGTTAATCTGTACATATCATCGCCCGAGAATGACTATCTGAGTATCACGCTTGTCAACGTCACATCAGCAGATGCAGGAATTATTTCATGTCAAAAACATGTATATATTCCTATTTCTGTGCCTGGATGTCGAAATTTGCTGACTGTTTATCGTGAGTATTTCCACTATGTCTTGTCACAACACATGGTGTTAACCTGAACCTTAGTGTAACTATGAACACTGAAGGAGGTTGGCAGCGTTCTAAGGGGTGGGGTTGGAAGACGGTGTGGGGTTTCGTATGGACAGAAAGTTTTTGTGCTTGTTCATGTAATTAAATAAGCAGTTTCATAAAAACGGGTTGCTTTTAATTTTTTCAATGTGCTTGTCCGCTCTTGACTCGTCCGGCTTTCGTTTTTTTTTTTGCAATAGCTTCTTCATGGAAAGGATCCTAGTATTAAAACTTTGTATACCATATGTGTAACCCAGGGGAGTCGGATTGATTAGGTTTGGGCATATAAGGGCCCAAGGTCAAAGTCACTAAAAACTTTACAGTTTGGCATTTGAGGAACCATTATGTACCTCCTACATTTGTCCTAAGTTGAAGACGTGTCTTGGGTTCATTTATTTTAGAGAAGAAAAATGTCATTCATATGAAAAGTAGGACACCTTAACCAACATTAAAAGCTCCAGCTGTGTTAGTGTGTCAAGCTGACAATTGCTCGAATTTAATATGTTTAATGTTTGCTCAATGTACACACTGAAATGTGGAATATGAGGAATATACTGAAAATGTTACATCAGCGATCTAAGGCCAAGACCAAGAGTTACATAATACTTACGAAAAATCTTTTTAACTTAACTTATTGAACATTTATGTGTAAGAAATAAGTAATGATATGATAAGGGTGCTCTTTTGAATATCTTATTCTTCGCAAGGGGACGTCACTCTATCTTGAAATAGTTGAGACATCAGTGAAAATGTTTGAAAGAACACAAATGTGAAACAGGGCTTGCAAAATAGTATGTGTTGCCATAAAGATGGCAAAGGCTGTTAATCTGTAAGAATTTGTCAAATTTTGCAACCACGAGCATGACAAGTAAGCTTATGAAAAATAAATTCCATCAGATATTTCTGTATGTAATGATTGGATATTGTTCAAACTTGGCATAGTTGGCCTTTCAGTCTAGATCTCGTGTCGTGCAGGTTGAGCATTAAATGAACACTCACAGTTGAACATGTAACCCCTATTGTCACCACATGAATATTTGGTTTCCAGAACAAATATAATTCTCAAGCAGATTAAAAAAAAATATACCGTATAAAGTATACCGTTCAATAAAGAGATATCAGATCTTATTTGCAAATGATAACTAGCGGTTGCTAGCGTCACTACAGGAACACTATGGTATCAACACTTTGTGCTTACGTTTGAAATGAATGAAGAAATACTTAGTTTATTTTCAAAAAGCCTATGCACTTTTAGCATGTCTCGGCAAGACAAGTGTTAACAAACAGATTTGTAGAAGGTAAGTTGACAGTACATATCCTTTGCATATCCTCCAATCATCCAAAACCTGCATGTCAGTTTTCAAACCGGATGTCGTTTTCTTCACGCTATTTTGATTGGACAAATGCATTGACTCGTTAGTCCAGACAAAATATAACTCCATACTTCAAGCCTAGTTCAGCAAGAGTTAAAACTGGATTTTGTAGACAGTTAACTCCCTTGCCTCGGTAAGATGGTAAGAAACTTGAAGTGATATCATTGCGCCGTTGTTTTCAAGAACATGACACCATTTCACGTGTGGCATAGGCTCAAAGCATTATTGGGGTGGCACTCTAAGAACTTTAGAATAAAATCTCAACCTGTAGTGTTTCAGTGACACTAACAGTTGCAGATTCAACACTTAGTGTTCATTGTTTCACTGAGAGTTAGTTGAACACTAGGAGTTGTACTAATGCCTCAATGCACATACACCTCGAAACTATTTGTTAATAAACTGCACAGAAAGACATCGGATAAGATTTTATTATAGAATATGTTAATGTGGAAATTGTTTGGAGAGAGAAGGTAATTAATTATTCACTGCAAATAATAGAGTTTACTTTAATCTCTAAAGTAGCATGTTCGTTAGTAATATTTATCAATCAGTCAAACCATTAAAGTAAGTTATATCTACTTTATGTCTCAAGATCAAGTCTTTTACCATTATATGTTCGTTGAAACTCTGCTCAATGGATTCTGGCATGAACAATACTACAATTATTGTTTTTAATACGTCTTTATGCTATATTTAGGATTCCAAAGGTCCTACATTACGGTCGAGGCCATTGCAAGGCACCGCCTAAAATGTTACACCTATTTCCAACAATGGCCGCGTAATCCCAACCTGACTCCCTCCGTCAATTGGAGGAGGAATGGGGAGCAGGTGGTGATCGGAGGAAGGTATGAAGTAACGCCACCGATAAGAGACAACGAATCATTCTGGAGCAGCCAGTTGACGATATCAACTATAGGGACGGAGGATAGAAATGACAGCTATTCATGCCATCTGGAAGATGAAAACGGATTGGCTACACCATGGAGTGTTGATTTTGAATTCCTAAGTAAGAAAACTTTAGGTATTTGATGCATCAGCTGATGTGGAAGGAATACTTATACTCGAAAAAAATGTTACAGTATGGGACATGAAACCACTAAAAACATTCCTGAAATTGGACACGGCCGTTAGATTTTGGCGTGCATTTGATTTGTGTGTGTGTGTGTGTGTGTGTGTGTGTGTGTGTGTGTGTGTGTGTGTAAGAGTAGATCGGGTGGTCAACGTAAAATTATAGTCGCCCTGAGAGGATATTGTAAATCCTTTCCATTCAATGAATAGTTATATCTCCTAGTCTTTTAAACGTACAATATTGGTCGTTTTAATTTTGGCTAAAATGTGCACAAGCGCCAGCGACTGAGGACATGGTACTGTCCCCACGGTCCCCTTTTTGGTGATCTACCTTCAGTGGTTGGCGATCAGTAGCCCGTTTGTATCATATATTGTGTATCGTTACATCTTTTATAATTCCATGCTAGTTTTATATTCATATATGTGATAGTCTAGTTTGTTTTACTATACTTTGCTGACAGGTTTTTTTCTATGGTCAAAATGTCTTTATTATTGTATGAATGATCTCGTCACTATATGGCTGAAATATCACCGGTATGACGTTAATCCAAATTCACTCACTCACTCACCCAGGTGGTCATCCTCTGTGTTTCATTCTGTGTCATTTTCTACCACTGGTTTACTTGGCCCAGACTCAAATTTTCACAGGAAGCCAGTCGTGATATAACGGAATAATTACTGACTGTGGCGTTAAATGTCATTCACTCACCAATTACAACAGATATGGTTGATTAATACGTATACACTCAATCAATTTACTAGAAAACATGTTCACAATTAAAGCTTTTCAATGGCTATTTTCTTTAATTTGTGGAAGTTACTAAGTTGACAAATGAATGAAAAAACAAACGAGAAATGAAGACATTAATGGGTCATGACTTGAATCTTTAACTCACCTGAATGAAAGTCAATTATTGTTTGTAATTGGGCTTGGTGTATTTTAGTAACCTACATGAAAGTATAGGGTTCATTATAACCTGCCCGTCCGAGGTCGAAACCAGTAATGAAGCTCAAACTGGTCATGCATGTCGCCACTGATTATTACAGAAATTTCTACAAGGGGTTCAAAGCTTATTATTTATCATTCTGAGAGACAATTCTGAATAAATAATTGTTTTCTCATATATATGTGCACATGTGTCTGTGAAACATCATACATAAATAAATGGATTATATATTTTTGTCTTCCAGCTTATGGACTAAGTCTACAATTTCCTAGCTACACAGTGGCGTACGGAGCCGGTGAAGTCCTCCTACAGTGGTTACAGCCTCGTCTTGAAAAAAACATATTTCTGCAGAAATCTCACACAGGAGAAACTATTTTGACTTTTGATTTTGAGAGAGTCAAAATAGCCTCCCCATACATATCAAGATATCTGTTTGGTGGAATGGTTACACAGTCAACATCTAATGTTGTTTTTCTAGTTCTCCAAAACGTGACGGCCGCTGACGCGGGGAACATAAACTGTTATGTGTATGATTCGTCCACCCAGTTACAAATTCCACAGTGTGGAACCCTTCTTGTGGTATCAGGTGGGTATCGTAGAAGTAACAATGTAATAAACGATGAAGATCCCATAAATATGCGAATGGGGTCGCCCTGGAGGATAACTTTTAATCAGCTCCATCGATGCAATTTCTGCTGTCTCAAAACCCTACAGATGCGATGTCCCGTTGCTTCAAAACCTTGGCATAACATTCCCTCAACGTTTATCTAGGATTCCTAATATGTGAACAAAAATGTTTGCAAGTTGTGTAGCATTGTTTGGTAAATGTTGTGTGTGATTCAGGCCTTGAATTCTTGCGCTCTTTCTAAAGTTTCTTGAGTGAATGGTTCTATGTTTTAAACTTCAATATTTTTAAAATGATAACATATGAGAAAAAGTTATAACCGTCACAATTTTAAGTATCGCGAAAGTTCCGCCCACTAAAGTTTGTATTCCTAATATATGATAATTACGACACAGCAGCACACTCGGCGAAGAGTCTCTATCTATTATCGCTCGCTTGTAAGACTTCCTTATTGTCAGCCAGACATAAGTGACAGACAGTTTGCTATATGTTATGTTATGATTGATGTGCAAAGCCCAGTAATATATGTATTGACCAATTCCGGTTTTAGGCATGACGTTTTAGGCATTTCTTTTCTTTTGACAGAACAACCATCAAAACCAACTGTATCAAGCTATGGTCCTGCAGTGGCTGGACACCCAGTAACTCTGACATGCAACTCCACTTCCCGAAGTCTGCCCGTGGGTCACCCTCTCTCCATGAACTACACCTGGAGGGGCAACGGTTTCCAACTTGAGAGCGGAGGTAGACATCAGATATCAGGATCATCTCTCACAATCACAAACATCCTGGCAGATGACAATGTGGGATACTCGTGTCAAGCCGTGGAGGAAGATGTAATGTCTCAGTGGAGTGACGACTATGTTTTTAATATTCTAGCCACAGGTACGTATTCGTATTTGATAGCGTTACGCATACATGTAAATTTGACGTTACGCATACATGTAAATTTGACGTTACGTATACATGTAGATTTGACGTTCCGCTTACATGTAGATTTGACGTTACGCATACATGTAGATTTGACGTTACGCATACATGTAGATTTGACGTTACGCATACATGTAGATTTGACGTTACGCGTACAAGTAGATTTGACGTTACGCATACATGTAGATTTTACATAGATTTGACGTTACGCATACATGAAGATTTGACGTTACGCATATATGAAGATTTGATGTTACGCATACATGTAGATTTGACGTTACACATATATGAAGATTTGACGTTACGTATACCTGTAGATTTGACGTTACGCATACAATGTAGATATGACGTTGCGCGTACAAGTAGATTTGACATTACGCGTACATGTAGATTTGACGTTAAGCATACATGTAGATTTGACGTTACTCATGCATGTAGATTTGACGTTACGCATATATGAATATTTGACGTTACGCATATATGAAGATTTGATGTTACACATACATGTAGATTTGACGTTACGCATACATGTTGATTTGACCTTATGCATGCATGGAGATTTGACGTTACGCATGCATGTAGATTTGTCGTTACGCATATGTGAATATTTGACGAAGTGCATATATGAAGATTTGATGTTACGCATACATGGAGATTTGACGTTATGCATACATGTAGATTTGACGTTACGAATACATGTTGATTTGACGTTACGCATGCATGTAGATTTGACGTTATGCATATGTAAAGATTTGAGGTGAACACCTGATGTCATCACTGATTTTCAGTGATCTATTCATATCATTTTTGACGTTATTTTACCTTTTACGCCCAAAGTAATCTGTGTCGAAGATTATCAAGACTGGCGTTGACATTGTATAATTCGTTAAAGTATATATAGGAAAAAGAGACACTTCCGATCCTTTGGTATACAACACATATACACCCGGAATACAATTTTAGTATTATCATAACGAACGCAGAGGGACCAGTAATTTCCGTTCGTTATTACCGTAGTTCGTTACAAACATATATACAGCATATATATACTGCAAATGGTAGGGACAAAAATACAAAACAGCGTGTTCGTTATAACCGTAGTTTATATTTGTGCAATTATGCCACACTGATTTGAAATAACGAATATTGCCTGGTTTGAATTGCATTAATAACATCAAACGAACAGTTACTGTTGTTTTACCTTGCTTTCAATTGTTTGGAGAAAGTGTCATGGATAGATGAACAAATAGTTATATATTTTTCCTTATGTTTTATACCAGCGGATGCAAATCTACTGATGTTTGCTGTCGTGGGTGCCTGCTCAACCTTTGTGGTAATTGCTGTCATTGGAACTGTCGTCTTCTGCCAAGCATACAAGAAACTAAAACGTAATTATTCATACAGTATTTATGCCTAGATCATCTCTGTTTTGGTCTGTTTGCTGTTTAAAGTCGCACCCGGCAACAGTCCAGCTATATGACGGCGGTCTGTAAATAATCGAGTCTGGACCAGACAATCCAGTGAAAGACATCATGATAATCGATCCACGCATTTGGTATACGATGACATGCATCAACCAAGTCAGCGAGTCTGACCACCTGATCCCGTTAGTCGCCTCTTACGAGAAGCTAGGGTTACTGAACACCTATGCTGAACCGGATCTCCCCAGGGGGAAATACGTTGATAATACCGTACACAATCAATAAACCGTCACTGTAATTGTATCACTACACACATGCTGAGGACGGATGATGTCAATCTACTTTGAGTACTGCATTTCTGTCTCATGTTCATTAGCGATGCCCCTGTAAATTCGTATTACTTTTCTGTCTCTCAGGTACACTGGATGAAAGGTGAGTAATGGTAGTTTTATAACACGATTGATTTAATGTGCAAGACAATGAAGCAAACGTGGTGTTTCTCGCTTCTATCATGTATTTGTATTTTAATACTCTTCAACACTAAAATGTCTTTATCATAAAGGGGCACGGGTGGACCAATCAGATAAGGCGCCACGATTCGCTGTGCAGAGATGCGTCCCTTGGCACGCCAGAAACCTATGATTTTGGGTTCGAATCCCGATTCGCCCCGATTATGTTTCTAGGTTTGTCGGCACTATATCCGTGCTCATGGGTTTCACCGAAGTGGTAAACGTCTGATACCTGCATCACTTCGGGCTTTCCTCCCACATTAAGCTGACACGCCGCTATATAAATGGAATACTGTTAAAAGCAGCGTTAAACCCAACTCACTCACTTACTCACTTTATCATAAGCTATAATTTACTCAAAGTAATTTCTTACTCGAATCTTGACACCCAAGTAAAAAATACTACAATACATTGTATTTCACATTCCAAATATATTCTCATCAATGCAAAGTATTCTTTTACACCCTTTGCACATCTATCAACTATACAATTGTCAATGTTTTCAAAGGAGTGTCACGCACCCCTGTGTCGAAATGCAGCCAGCTGATGGTTCGCGAGTGAACATGTACGACGCATTCGAAACACCAAGAGCCGAACCGAACGAATACAAGTTTGAGGACAATGAAGCTTTCTATGAGAATATCTAGTGCATCAAAAGGGCAAAACATGGTTTAGGACCAATAGATGCATTTTTGGTGAACATAGTCTTTGTTATCAGGAAAGCTGAAACAGCTTTCGGAATATTACTAACAAAATATATCCCTCAATTGTTGGTTATGTAAAATTATTTTTCGTGTCGATATTGCAGTGTTTGTGGACACAGGAAAAAGTGATCCTTTGTTTGAACACCTTTAACCAGCATGTATACACAGCTTGACTTGTCATAAAAGGGAAATATGTTTTATAATGCTTTGGCAATTCATCATGAAAAATATAACATTTTTATATTAACGTGCACAGTATAGAGCTTTTTACGCAAATATAGTCCATATTATGTGTAAACATTGTGTTCATATATATCTTAATATTCTATGAAGGTTTATGGTAGAGCACATACGCTCGATATAAAGTCCCATCAGAGTTTATATCGTATAGGTACTCAAGTTTAAAACATAAAAGTCAAGTGAGCTTACGTTGTGGCGCATTGTCCGTCGTCCGACGACAACTGTTACATGTGGACATCTCTGAGAGGTCAACGAAGATGAAACTTTGCATGGATGACCACAGCTGACTTAAAGAGTTTCCACCCGGTGTAATTTTTGGTTTTTACTTATAACTCTCTGTATGTATAATTATCACAGTTGCAATGCAGTAAGTATGTGCTTTACCGAAAAACATGTATTGGTTTGTGTTTGCATATTTGATTTTATACTTAGCTTTGGCCTTTGATTATAACATAACGCCATTTTATTTGTTTTACAATATTTTTACATCTCCTCTGAACTTCTCGGTTAATGAATCTACTATTTGTGTATGTCATCTCAACGCATATTTATCTACCCTTGTTGGAAACTGCTGATTTTATATGATACTAAAGAAATAAGGTTTCCCCTACCCCTATGTTAATGTACTAAAGTATAGATTTGCTTGAAGTATTATAGTTAAATTGCTTTGAAGAAATAATTGTTCAGGGCAAAATTATACTTTATTACACTACACATGAGGGTAGAGCAAATTGTATTACTTTTCGAAGATGACAAGTTTATGACTAAGTTTGTGTTTAGTAAGAGATGGGTTTAAAATCAAATCTGTAAAAAGCGGTGTAGTAAGTTGAAAATACTTGCAGAGGGCTAACATTTCTACCATTAATGTGACACACGGGACCAACTGCAAACCATGAAATACTGCCGAGTTGTTAGCACTACATGATACCATGACCAACGTGCGTGGGCGGCCTGGGGCGTCACATGTCGTCGCCATGCGACAGACGGGGGAAGGGCAACAGTGGTCGGTTTGTTTGACCGCAGTATGTTGCTAAATGCCTTACATTGAGGTTATACAACTCTACAAGACTTGCGCAGTCCTGTGTCCAGAGACAGCAGTAATATGCCGCGTTGTTATTCTGTGGCACGGACATAGTGGTTATAATATGTTTGTGATATATCCTCGGCGTTAGGTTTGGTGATCATCATCTTGGCATATGTCCTCCTAGGTTATGTAATTGTCAATTATTTAAAGAATTATTTTCCCTGATCTATGATAATGAAAACGTGAATGAGGCATCTTGGTGGATAGTAATAAAAGAAGAACGATGTTAGCAAGGATACATCAGATCTCGGCGATCTGATTTGAACAGCGTCATGACGTCAGCCCATTATAACGTATCTCAAAACGTGTAGCATAAACTACAGTCGGCGGCTTTGTAAGTTTAGAGACTCATGTAAGAATAAGATATCCAAGTTAACTACAGAGCTCTGTATCACTGTTTACTTTCATTTTATTTCACTTTCTCTTTTTCATGTTTCGCTTACCTGCTTTTATGAATACTACATTGTCACTGCGCTGATTTTCTTCATGTATGTATGTGTTGTAGCATAAGTGAATCCGTCTTGCGGTCAATGTTGCGATCTCGGATAACACAGATTTTCATTCTTTTGTTTATGTACAGAAAATAAACAAAATAAAATTTCACCACCACATTCTTCCTACTGAAATCATTTATTTAGTGTGTGTATATTTTAAATCATCGCCTGCGAGACTGGTGAGATGAGAGACTGGTGAGGCTATATATAAGGAATTACTTCAGATTGCCATTCCATTTTCTTGTCATCACCTCGATCTGTTCATTAATGTCGTATATTGTCAACATAACACTATTAGTATAAGCATGGTTGAATCAAGGAGAAAGCTATTCCATTGGACTTTCTCTACATTAGCCTTTCTTTTGACCCACGCCGTGGCCCGTGAAGATCCTGGGTAGAATAGGTCTTAAGCAACCCTTGCTTGCCGTAAAAAGCGACTATGCTTGTCGTAAGAGGCGACTAACGGGATCGGGTTACTTGGTTGATCGTCATCGTTTCCAAAGCGGGTCCAGACTCCAGGATCATCAATCTTGATCACCCGCCAAAACAAATTTCACAGGGATTCAAAGGTAAAATAATGGTGAGAATTATATGACTGGATCACTGCAAATCAGTGTAAGAATAGAGTAAGCATGTCCTGCCCTACTGGTGGCACCAGCCATTCAATTTGCATGGACACTTAAATTTTGTTTGTCGCCTAAGAAATGCCCATTTTGCAATTCCGACTATATAGTGAATCACTATCTATTGTTGATGATACCAGGTGTTTGCGGAAAAATGAGTGTATTCTGTCCAACTGGCAATGTCAATTGTTCACTAGAAAACTGTAAGTGTGTTTGTTGCCTAACGCCTGGTATCAGTACTCCTACCATAAGATGATGTCTTGTAAAAAGCACACATTTTCAATGGAAACCTCAATATTCGAAAAAACATTCTCGTCCATTTATTATCAATGCTAAACCTACGCCCGGGTAGTAACTGTGTTATACACTTTCATTGGAGGAACGTATACCCTGCTGCCAGATCCACATGTCGAAGTGTTGCAAAGTTGGACACATGGATATCCATGTGAATGGTCATCTGGTTATGTGATGTGTTCTTGTATGGTACGTGCTTCAAAGTCCAACGGAAAAGAGGGAATTTGCAGGGTATGTCTTACAGCTATGGGTCATACACTCAGTCAGCTAAGTGAAGCCAAAGTATTTACTAAAGTACTCACGGAAATGAAAAAAACCCTGTTTTACTCAATTTAAAAATCGACACAAAGTGTTACGTAGCTGTAAAAACGAAATAACAAAACAACTCGAAAAGTACTAGTCTGGATTTGCTAGTTTGATCTCAGTGAACAATACAAAATGTACTTTACAGGAGGTAATTTGTCGGCACTTTCAACATTCAAAAATAAAACTAAGTCCATATTGACATAGCAGAAACAGACTATAGGCATTATGCACCTGTTCTCACCTGTCGTCAAGGTGTCATAGGTCACCTTGATCTACCTACACCTGGTTATGCCCTGTCTCACAATTGTCTGTTTTATTCACATTTTTACACACTTTTACGTGTAAAAAGGCATAAAAAACATTTGATACGCTGTATTTGTGCCACGGCCCAGTTAGTAATTGTTTGAATATTTACATATTTTGTATTTTAACTGCATTTATTTAAGATCTGAGGTCGAAAAAACATTTTTTTTTATTTCTGTGAGTACTTTAAATTGGATGTTAATTCTGGCTTCGACACATACCCCTGTCATCTTCTCTACGTAGCCCGTTCATTACACCAACTGTCTCTATTGTTTTGCCTACCTCTTGGTTTATCCTCGGCTCAAGAGTAATCACGAATATGAGGATGGATGATGCAAAATATTATGACATCCTCATCAATAATCAAGATGATGTTGGTCACTACTGGCATGCCATAAAAGCCATATGCAGATTGATCGATGGTTGATTGATACCCAATCTCAAAATAATTTAATTCTCATAAATAAAAGAGAATCAGGGGCATATCATTTATAACTCTGGAACCTCTGATAAATCTGCAAAGATAACCAGCATTTGTAAGCCACAGAATGTGTCTGTGTCTGACGTTCGATATTTCTCAAGTTAGTTAATCAACTCACATAATGTATTCACAATCATGCTACCAAAACAGTACTGTGTTCATGGAAACATTTTCGACTCATTAACCCTTATTGTCAAATGTCATTGTTTGCATATTTAAAAAATGATTAAACAACACAAGACATATTTGGAGGCTTAATACACGTATAGGCATCAAACCACTTTCAATAATTATAAGAAATCACTGTTTAAAGCAGAATCCGTTGTATGATAATAGGTATGTGTTTATGAATCACTATCAAAATAGTGATTATAACAGGAGGAACCCATCACAAATGCATGCAAAGCCAAGTGAGGCGGTTAACTGAACCAACATGGGAACATATCGTGCAAGTCAAAATAAAGAATTGCATCTGACATCATTTTGGTCACTGGGTCATCGAATTTGGAAATACCCTCTACAATGTCATGTTTACGATACAAATTTCAAAGCTTCACTAAGATCGCACATATTGTAACCCTGATCAAACAACTTTTGAGTAAGAATCGTATGACGCTCTTTGATATCTTTGTTGAAAGATCATGCTTGGTTGTACATAAATACTTCAAGTCATTTTCAAGTAAACACGTTGACGGCTTCTTGCTTCTTACACGCAAGCTCCACTGTTTCCTAAACAGGTGAGGTGAAATTGGGTTTAACGTCGCGTCCAAGACTATTGCACTTATATAGCGACGTGCATGCACGTGTATGTGTGTGTGTGGCTGCTTGTACTAGTCCGGACTGATGCCGATTTATAGTGCTAGCTCACTGAGATACCATGCCGCAGTTTAACATGGATACCCCACTCAGACACAGTACACATACTGACTCCGAGCCGACCAGTCCTTGTTTTAGCCCCTTAATGCCGAGCGCCAGACAGGGTAACAACAAGTACAATCTTTTAACGTCTTTTTGTATGACGCGGCCCGGGATCGAACCCCGGGCCTTCCGCTCTCCGGGCGGACGCTCTACCACTAGACCACGGCTTTCTTTTGATTATGGTAAGGCTTGGGTCGCTCCTGTTTTGTGATAATAACCTAACTTCCCGAAAGGATTTATTCAAGTAACCTGTTCGAAGATTACACCTAATCTGCACAGTCATAGGGAACACTGTTAAAGTTTTAATGATGACTTCTACCACCTGACAACTTACATTTACTTTGTGGTTTGGTATCAAAGTGAATCTTCCCCATTATTCTGTCTTGTCAAACTCCACGTGCAGCAGATAACACACCCGGCTGTCAATATTGTACCCAATTGACTGTTTGTGTCATACATTGTACTTTCAAAACCATGTTCAGAACTGTTGCATTTGGACACGTGGATTTTGAAGCTTCGTAAAATCTAGTGAAACAGACGGAATTTCTGATCGATCACTTGATCGAACTTGAATAAATGTTTATTATCTGTGAAGTTTTTGTTTGTTCTTATTGTCTCCTGCCTAATTGTGAAAGTGAGATTTTTCATGTAGATTTAGTAACAAGTGACTTGCCTTTGCATGTGTTGTATGGTTTCTGATCTTACAAAATGGAGGGAGGGTGCACATAGCAGAGGGGTCTGGTGTGTGGTTTTCTATCTCATGATATTGAGGGTGTTTGTGGTTGTCCGGCTTAGGAACCGGGGTGGGACGGCATTGGTGTGAAGTAGTGTAGTCTGGATTCCTAGGACAAGGTATGGGTGGGCGTGTAGTAGGGGATGTGGTGGCTTATGACAGAGAGGGTTTGATGTGTCGTACGTGTTGAAGGCCCTTAGGGCAAGGTTGGATTTGGGTTGGGAATGGTGTTGGGGTGTAGTAGGGGGTTCGGTTTTAGGACAGGAATGGTTAGGGCGTGTAGCGGTATGTTTGAGTTCTGTGAGAATACAACAGGTAGGTGTATGGTATGCGTGTGGGTTCTCTTAGGACAAGAAGTGACAGAGTTAGTGTAGAGCACGTATAAGACACGTATGGGTGGATGTTTAGTATGGATGTGTTTGAATTAGACAGGAGAGCTTGGTGTTCAGTAGGGGAGGTAGGGATGCAATATGTTCGTTAGTTGGGATGGAAGGGGTTGGGTGGGGCAGAATTTGTAGAAGGGGGTTCATAGGATAAGGAGGCGATGGGTTTGCAGGAGGGAGGGGGTTGGTGTGTAGAAGAATGTGTGGCCTCAAAGAAAAGGAAAGGCGTGCTGTCAAAGCTCATTTTTCAGTTTCTAGCGCTTTAAAGTTGTAGAATATTTGAGTCTGGCAATAAAGAACGGAATCCTATTAGCATGCATTGCAGAGCTAAGCTAGTCAGTGATTCATAATACACACATGTTGGTTTGTTGGTTTGTTGGTTTGATGTTTAACGCCGCACTCAGCAACATTCCAGCTATATGACGGCGGTCTATAAATAATCGATTCTGGACCAGACAATCCAGTGATCGACATAAAGACTACACACATGTAAACGACAACATAAAAATGTATGGCAGAATATTTATTTAAAAAGCAAATTCAAAACAACAGAATTATAGCTGCTTTTCTACAAGGACAGCAGCGTGAAGACGTCCAAAAGGATTGACATCTTTCACAATAAATCATTATGAAAAAGAGGTTTGTTCAGGTCAACCTCACATCAACACAACGAAGAAGGAATTATGAACAAAAACAAAGATAGTTTAACGCCCTTACAAACAATCAATAGCGGTCAAATAAAATATAATAAGCTGCAGTTAGATGAAACCAGAAGTCTTATATGCTCAAACAAGCAGGTATACACAAACATCAATGTTAAAGCTGGTTTACAAGTCTACATTTTCAATTTTGATCATCATGTGGCCATTCTGATTTGTTATCGACATAACATAGAACATACTGTTACATTGCTTTTCAATGAACACATGAACAGTGGCCTTGCTTCTGAGTTACGTCCCTGAAAATGACAGGATGCACTGACCATTGGTTCGAATCTTATCTTCGCACCGAATATGGTTCTTAGTAGTTAATCACTGTAAACATGAGGTTTCACAAACAGTGGTAACAGGGTATGGCATCACAAAGGTTTTCAACCCATGAAGCTAACGCACATTGATATAACTGAAATATTTACAAAAGTTAACGAAAAAATGACTCTTTCAAAACAATATCTAATAAGATATAATCACAAATATCAAATAACATATATTGACATTAATACGTATATAAACAAAATAGGATCGTAAAAGCAATGACCAACAACAATAAATGATCAACACCGCAGTTTGTGAAAGACTGCAAATCACGGCCAAAATCCAATATGAAAACAAACCATTTGCTTAATACAATTTTCTTTTACCAAATGACAGGCACATTGTTCAATGCAATATCTAATGTATAAAATTCCTTTATAACAAATATCATCTATGGACACGTCTACGCATATATACACCAAATAGAATGATCAACGCAACGACTAAAAGAAACAAATGTTCTCAATAAAATAATAGTTCATAATACTTCAGTAAAACACTCTGTGTGTCTGGTGTGACTGGAATCTTGGATTGCCAAATGGTGATAAGTCAGTTCTTTAAATCCCATGCCATGGGATTTGCTCACTCAAGTGCTAAACCTTCGGGCTCTTCTCACGTATTAGGGTGAAACACTATGATATAATTGAAATAATCCTCAAAGCAACATTATACATCTCCCCCAACCAAATTGCTTCACCAAAAAATCATAAAGTTTCGGGATACTACAACTAGTTTTGTATAAGCATGTCCTGATCTGAAACATATATGTCTGGCTGGTCGATGTCGCTCATCCGAACACTGTCTGCTGGGATATATCTGTGGAATGACAATGAACAACAATGTATTTAATATGAAAATCCATGATAAACAAAGCACCGTTTCCTTCCAAATGTATCTGTTATACGTCTCAATACCTCTAAAATAGAGACTAGAGGAATGTTTTCTGTAGTATGGATTGGATAACAGGATTTATTATAGACTTCAGGGTGAGTTTACTACCCCTTAAATTGTCTCCCTTTATCGTAAGTGTTTGGCCCGTAATCAAACTGTTGACTGTTAGTTCCACATTGACAAGATAAAATAATGACAGCTTATCGTTTGTGGAGTTAATGTCGCTTCTTGACGTTTGCTATTTTCTTGAAAATGTTTCATTATAAACTTTGAATTACTCCTTTCACTGAAGTTGCGTTTCTCTCATCGAGTCACGGGGAAAAGGAGATATTTTCACGAGTGGCGTACCATGACTATGCCTTTCAACATTACCGTGTTGTTTGTCTCTCAAATACGTCAACACTTTCATAAATGTTTCTTATTAATAGCTAAATGAACTGCATTTTAATGTCTCACGTCACATATCACGAAGCCCACAATTCAAAGTACCAGTCTACCAATAATACAGAGATCACTTTCATTTCCTCAAATCTGAAATATAACAATATACATTTATTTCAACATTAGCAGCTCTGATTAAATGCTGGGAGAAGACAGGCTTAAGATTATTGTTTCATGTAGCTAGATGGGTGTAGTTGGGAGTGGGCGTGATTATTAATATAAGGCGTGTTTACTGATTATTATCATTATCATTTAAATAGAATATTTAAAAATGAATACTTCACCTTATTTCCACTGAACCTGTGGACGAAACGTAATCATGAATATGCATACTATGCATTCACATATTTATGCGCAGGTATTGTCAAAGCGTATTTGGACTGTGTCTTTGAAACATTTAGGAGTGATACACATAAGGAGAAGATTTTATGGATGTCAACTTTCAGAGATTATACTTACTCCTCCATCAAGTGAAAAAATGCTCTGAATGTTATGAGGCCGCATAGCATTTAGTCACCTTAAGAAGGAGTAAATATATACTCCGAAACGTGTTCCTCATAATAAAGAAGTTGACATCCATAAATTCTTCTCCTTATTTAGATTGTGTTTATATTGCACCTCAGAAAACCATTTCATGCCATTACTCTTCAATATCTGAAAGATAACATTCAACTATGATATCAATACAAGCATGCAACCAATGTCAGCCAAGTGGTAACACAAGCTGGTACACACTTACTGCACTTACTTAATGGTGGAAACACTATAAAGTGTAAATTGGGACCGCTGGTCGGGCATTTTAGCGTTTGAGTGGGGATAAGCATAACTGATATTTTTACTCAAAAGAATACATATTTTACCTTATCATGACTAATTGCTTGAATGCAAGGTGGTGGGTTCCACCAAGTGTGTGATTCAGGCAGTAATCTGTTCATAGAACCCTATAGGAACGTTATTCTTCTTAGTTCTTCCATATTTTGTGGGGCACCAAAGACTTCTTGGCGAAATGGTAGGAGTAAATCTTTTAGATTTCATGGATTTGTATAGTTTGCTACGTTCTTTCCCGCTTGCTTTAAATGGTTATAGAAGACAGAGCACAATCGTTGAAACTCATGATAGTGGGTGAGTTTTCAGTAGCAAGGTCTATCTTCAAGAAGGCATTGTCAGTTGTTGTGTGATTAGGTTTTCTTCGCCAGAGGTTCGAAATCAAAAGAACTCTGCTACTTTGCGTCAATCGTCTTTAATAGCTAATGAAAATGCCTTAGATCTTGCAAATTGAACGAATCTTTTCCATTTATCATCATTTAAATTCCTTAAATTATATAGTAAAACAGGGAACATTGGCACTCAGTCATGGCTGAGTAAGCTGACGTCTGCAATCTGCGTGATAGTGGGTGAGTATTTTGTAGCAAGGTTTGGTAGGCATTTTCAGTTAATGATCCGACTTGAAGAATTCCAGCGGCATACTTCTAGCAATCTCGAAACACAAGCTTCCATAATCGTCTGGATGGAGCAGTTACCATGTAAAGCTAAAGTGGATGCTTCATGTGGATTTGATGCTGAGGGTGGAACTAACCCTGCTGTCTTGTAGGTTCTGCGTGTAACTGCTCTCATCTAGAAGGAGAAACTTTAGGGAATGAAACAATCTTCTTAATTGTTATCTTTTGAAGATTGTTCTTTATAGATATATGTGTAATGCTCTGACTGGGCATACCGACAAATCTTCAGTATCCTGAAGTCATGGCAGTGTGGTTGTCCTGGCAGCACATTCTTGGCAATAAAATCCCATCTTAGACAAAGATGTACCGATGAGTGATCGGCAGTGTCAAATCTTGTACGACTGAAGAACTTCACATAGATGTCGGACATCCTGGCAGCCATGGCTGATGCCAGGAGAAACAAGGTTTTCCTGAATCAGATGTTTGAAGTGAGCTTGTTCTAAAATTCCATAGGCATAACTGGTAAAATGTTGGAGATGGTTGCAAATAGATCCACTGATGGGCAACCTCCTTACTTTTATTTTGCCAGTCTTCCGTCTCGTCTTGTTGCTGTATATGGACGGCTGGAGGTTTAAAGTCCCAATCGTTCACCAGCTCCCACCTCTTCATCAGGCTTTCCACCTCTGTCTCTAGCTTTCTGGATTCCACAAATTGGGTTCTGGATTAACTCTCTGGATACGACTGTCACAAAAAGAGGGTTCATGTAATAAGGGCTTCATATAAAGGGTTTGACCCATGTGAATTGGCTATTAGACTTTGACGACGTAGTAATGTAACATCTGCAGAAGCTTAGCTAATATGGCCTGAGACGAATTCTTGATACTTCTGACTGACCATTGCTGAAAGAAGCATTCTTTCTCTGTTGGTCTGTGGGCTCTGGAGCTAATTCAGCATTGCCTCATTGATGGACCGTTACATGGCAAGGCCGAAGAAAGAGCGTCTTGTAATGGTATCTAGTTGAGCCAGCTTCTTGTCCTCCATTGTCTTTGTCTACTTCTGGAGTACGAAGGAAAGTGGTCATTTCATGCATGGGACATTTCCTTGGGTTAAATGGTGGGGCTGTTCTTGTAGCCTTAACAAAAGAAATGTTCTCATTCTTTGCTGCTTATGGTGCATGTGAAATACGTGGAATTGGTAGAGTGTCAGTGTCATCTTCCTTAAAACTTTAAATATTAGAAGGCGACACGTCTCTAGAAGGTGAAGAAATGGGAAGTCAATCTGTGATCCTAATCATTAACTCGACGCCCTCGTAGATGGAGGATGGATGTTCCTCTGGCTATGATGACCTCCCATGAAAGACAGGTTCAAACACATCCTTTTCCTACAGAAGTTACGAGGGGTTAAGGTTTGGAGCTCTTTGAAACTCATCAGCAAACAATGCTGAAGGGGTGGTCAACATGGAGGGGTTGTTTAGTGTCTGCTGCTGCAGCGCAGCAAATAAAATATACATGCCTTGTAACACTGTTAACTTAATCTGTATCAGATGATGTAGTAGGCAAAAATGTACCTTACTGGAAGAACGCAGGCTGCGTGACCACCAAAGTCTGCGTAAACCATGGAGCCTTTGTGAAGGTAGAGTGCTGCATGAAGGTTTGCTGCTGTGCAGAGCCCGGTAGTTGCACAAAGGCCTTGGGTTGCATAAAGGACTGGTCCTACTTGTAGGTCTGGATCTGTGAAGGTTGTTGGAAGTTCATGAACCTCTGGAGCCGCGTGGAGGTGGTCGGCTGCGTGCAGGTATCAGTCGTCTGTGCTTAAGCAGCAGGCTTCATGGAGATGATAACCTTTGCTATGATATGCTCTCTTGAAGTTAAGGACGACTTCGATGAAGAGGACGAAATTCTCTTCTTCATAGTGAGTGAGTGAGTATGGTTTTACGCCGCTTTTAGCAATATTCCAGCAATATCACGGCGGGGGACACCAGAAATGGGCTTCACACATTGTACCCTTGTTGGGAATCGAACCCGGGTCTTCAGTGTGACGAGCGAACGCTTTAACCATTAGGCTACCCGACCGCCCCTCTTCCTCATAGGTATGTAGATTCTTACTGTGGTTGGTAGTAACAGCAGTAGACTTCTTCTTAGATTTGAACGTACTCTTAGATGCAGTATCGACGCCTTCCAAGGAAGAAGTTCGTAAAGGCATTACTGCTTTACTCTTTGTAGAGGGAATATCGACCTTTATTTCTTCTATGTCATCAGTCATCCTTTGAAGAGGGTGTAGGCGTAACCACACCCTTCATTTACTTTTTGGTTGTCGCCTTTAATGAAGGTGATGTTGATCATGATCATGATCTCTTATGGTCAAAGTCTTTTCCTCTGCCTGACAAAGTGGAGCGCAGAAACTATACTTCTCATTTTAAGGTGCAGTGTTGCGGGACACAGGACGAGCAGATGGGGGTGAGGAACACGATCTGATACACGGACATGACGGATTGAACATTTTCCATGATTGAAAAAAGTGTCAACTTTAAGTTCCAAAATGTGAAATGTTTTACGTCAATTTAAGAACACAATCGTTGATTATTACGTATAAGTGTTAGGAAAATGTTATCAGATTGTAATCCAAGCAACAAATTTCATGAAAAACGAATAATTTTGATAGGATGAACTATGACCTCTGGCAAAAAGCAACAACTACTCGTTGGCACGTTTTTTTCTGTTCTCTGGATATAACGTTCACGAATTTTCCACCATCAGTCGGAATGAGATACGATAAGCAATTTATATGAGGATAAGGTAAAATAAGAGCTTTCATTATATATATAGCATGCTAATATGTCTCAATATCAAAGACATTTATAGTGTTAAAATATGACGTCTCGCGATTAGAAATGACGGACATTTCAAAGTACAACATGGCTGCCACAAAATATTCTACTCCAAAATATGACATTCGTGCATTAGCCTGTGTACTATTAGATTTATAGCCATATAGTTACGTCCCTTTGACCTCCCAGAAACTTTTGAGCCCTGGTTTGAATTCACTCTGGTATCAAGGTTTGTCACTTGTGCTTCTTGTTTCACCACATGATAAACGTTTAACCTGCACAACTTGACGATTTCCTCCTTCTTCAAGATGACATCGGTCATACTACTGAAGTACTGCAGCATTAAATCTAATTCACTCATTCGGATTATCCATATACACTGACATACGATTTAACATGTAACTAGATGCTAAATTTGGAAAGACCGCCTCCATGGTCTAGTGGTAGAGCGTCCATCCGGAGAGCGGAAGGTCCGGGGTTCGCTCCCCGGCCGTGTCATACCAAAAGACGTTAAAAGATTGTACTTGCTGTTACCCTGTGTGGCGCTCGGCATTAAGGGGCTAAAACAAGGACTGGTCGGCTCGGAGTCAGTATGATGTGTCTGAGTGGGGTATTCATGTTTAACCGCGGCATGGTATCTCAGTGTGCCAGCACTATAAATTAGCATCAGTCCGGACTAGTACAGGCAGCCACATACACACACACATACACACACACACACACTTGCATGCACGTCGCTATATAAGTGCAATAATCTTGGACGCGACGTTAAACCCAATTTCACCTCACCTCTTCAATTTGAAAAAAAAATGTATATACTGACGTTTCATCTTTTTGTACAGAAGGATAATGATAACTGCAGCACTTGCAAAGACTGCTGCACATGCTCCAGCAACAACAGTTGTTGTATGTGATTGCTCCGCTGCAAATGAAAGACAAAATGTCAAAGGAAATGCTCAAATTAACATTGATGGTAACTGCCACAGATTAAAGGTTTATTATATCTTTGTCTGATTCTCAATAGATACATATACATTAATATCCATGGTTGTATCCTCTATAAATAACCCGTCTGCCTTAAATCTTATACATGGCTCATTCGTTTTGATCAATGTGGATGGTTTGCATTGATGGATATTTTGCTGAATGGCAATAGATAAGAATATATACTTGTATACATGTACATTCCACTTTCTTTATAAAGATCATGTAATTGGATGTATTGAGCTTAAAGGCACATGTGGCAGGATGTCCCCATGAAAGGTTATTAACAAATTACTTTTTTCCAAAGAGACCCGTGAAGATTACGGGGTAGAATAGGTCTTTAGCAACCCATAAACGACTATGCTTGTCGTAAAAGTCGACTAACGGGATCGGGTGGTCAGGCTCGCGGACTTGGTTGATGTATGTCATTGATCCGAATTGCGTGGATCGATGTTCATGATGTTAATCACTGGATTGTCCGGTCCAGACTCGATTATTTACAGACAGCCGTCATATAGCTGGAATACTGCTGAGTGCGGCGTTAAACAACAAACCAACCAACCAAACATTCTTTTCAAAGAAGACGATCAAAACCAACCCAAAATCAGGACCTCAGTTGTCTCACTCCAGTCAGAGGCCAAAGTATCGTGTTCAGTCTGACACGAATATGTGCCCTCGTCCTCCTTTCTGGCATCAGTAATGGTGAGAGTACCTTCTTCCAACTGATACCTTCCTCCACTCTCTATTTGGACGTTGTTCCTTCTCCAAGTGTAGGCCACATGCGCAGTTCGGGATCGACCCCGGGCAGGGGAGGAACATGTTAGTGTCACAGTCTGACCAGGTGTAGCTTGAACAGGGGTGCTGACATGAGGGGCAGGGTCTGTTATAACCATGAAAAACACATTTTAAATTACACTTTCACAATATGGCTTACATTTCATCTCCTTGTGCAGAAGGAGAGAGAAATGATAAAGATAAATGTCGGTTGTTGTCATCTACAAAATGTCAATAAAAATGTTCAAATCAACAACTGCCACAGATCAGACGTTTATTATAATTTTTCTCTAATTTTAGAAAGGTACAGGTATTGATATTCATGATCTAAAATTACATTGAAGAATGCCTTATTCTGATCGGTTTAAATGAGGCATTCGGTTTCATTTTGATTTCTCTAAATTTCACCTATTTGCAGAAACAAAATATAAATATGAATACGCCGATAGGCTGTACATTATTTCATACAAAATGGCTACCGATAACCAGTCAGAACCATTTATACTGAACAACAAAAGTTCATGTGACATTGAATAAGATTTAATGCAAAGTTATGTTTTTTACCAAATCTGAAACAATTTCGGTTTGCAACAAATAAAAAAACTCCTGTAAGTGTTCAAATTTTAATTTGCCATACTGACTTCAGAAAATGCGTGATTTCATAAAAAAACCATGAACATGCCAAAATGTCAATTAACAAATCAATAGCGTGTGTCCATCTCTGGTTGCGATGCAAGCAACACATCTTCGTCTCATGGAATGGACCAGGCGTCGCAAAAGTCCTGTGGGATATCTGTCCATATCTGCTGGAGCATGTTTCGAAGTTCCTGGAGTGTCTGTGGAACACGTGGTTGACGTCGAAGGCGCCGATCCATCTCATCCCACATGTGCTCGATTGGTGAGAGAACAGGGGAGCGAGCTGCCCAGGGGATGACATTCACGTTCTTTTGTTGAAGGGAATCCTGCACAAGTCGAGCCATATGAGGCCGGGCGTTGTCATGTTGCAAAGTAATGCCTGGGCCATGACGACGCAAAAACGGTAGAACAACAGGGCCGATGATCTCGTCGCGGAAGCGCTGTCGATTGAGATTTCCCTCTACCACTATCAAACGGGTCCTCTGTCTTGCTGTGATCCCACCCCATACCATAACGCTGCCGTCCCCGAACCGATATTCCTCCATGACACAATGATTGGTGTAGCGTTCAGCTCGACGTCGGTACACTCGAATCCGTCCATCGCTGCGGCTGAGCTGAAAACGAGACTCGTCAGTGAATAGAACTTGTCCCCACTGCATGGCCGTCCAGCGTAGACGCTGTCTGCACCACTGTGGACGTGTTTGACGGTGGTTTCCTGTTAAAATGGGACGTGTGGCGGGTCTTCTGGCGACAATCCCTGCATATCTGAGGCGGCGACGTACGGTTTGTAAAGATATTCGTCGAAGGCCAGAGATGCTTCTTGCAGTCACTGTTGTGTGGCTGGAATCGATTTCGTAGGTGTGTTGTTCGAATCCAGTTGTCTTGTCGATTATTGGTTACACGTGGCCTGCCACTCCGAGGATGGTCTCTGACTGCATTTGTCTGTTGCCAACGCTGCCATAAACACCAAATGGTGTTTCTATGGACGTTAGATTGTCTTGCAACATCACGATCCTGCTTCAAGCATACCAATGGCTCGCAGACGCTCATTTTCGGACAGGCGTGGCATTTCGTAATATTGAATGATTGCGTAATTTTGTTGTTTTTCTGAGTGGTTGTCAGCACGATGCTAAACAATGCATATGGAATCCCGTTAACGCACATGTATTTATACCCATTCTTGGGTTGTGAAATGCATGGGGATTGCATAAAAGTCAACTTTTGCATGGAATGCATGCTTTTCTGTAGCAGTTGCGTTTTTGTGACTTGATTCCATACATGTACTACAATATTGAAAACCAAACTTGTTTTCAAAAATACACAAAAATATTGGTGTCACAGGAACTTATGTTGTTGTGTATTGCTTTTGCGACGACTTTTATGCCCTTGATCTTAACCCTGATCGGTAAGGTGTTGAGGTCTAAGACGTCAACAAAACATCAAACAATGATGCATGTCAATTGGGTGGATCGATGCTCATGATGTCAATCACTGGATTGTCTGATCCAGATTCGATTATTTACAGACCGCCATCATATAGCTGGAATTCTGCTGAGTGCGGCGTTAAGTAACAAAGAGCAAACACATGCATAGAATTTCATGACAATATTAATTCAGTTTTTACCAATCAAAATCATGCATTCTTCCATGTCATGCCATAATAGTATATATTCCTCTTTCTTATAGAATCATGCAGCTGAATGTAATTGATATAAAGGTCCTTGCGACAGGATGTCCCTATGAAAGGTGCTATGAAGGTCATTTACCAATTACTATTTTCAAAGAAGACGATCAAAACCAACCCCAAAGCAGGACCTCAGTTGTCTCACTCCAGTCAGAGGCCAAAGTATTGTGTTCAGTCCGACACGAATATGTGCCCTCGTCCTCCTTTTTGGCATCTGTAATGGTGAGAGTTCCTTCTCTCATCTGATACCTTCCTCCACTCTTTACCGGGACGTTGTTCCTTCTCCACGTGTAGGCCACATGTGTAGCTCGGGATCGACTCCAGGCAGGGGAGGAACATGTCAGTGTCACAGTCTGACCAGGTGTAGCGTGAACAGGGGCGCTGACATGAGGGGCAGGGTCTGTTATAACCATAATGGATACATTTCAAATTGCACTTTCATAATATGACAAGACACTTACATTTCATCTTTTTGTGTAGAAGGAAGAGACAATATATAAAGATGATGTTCTTGCAATGATTGTTGTACATGCGCCATCAACAACAGTTGTTGTAAGTGATGGATTAGCTACAAAATGTTGAATAGTCACAGGCATTGATATACATGATTCTACAATGATATTGAAGAATACTTTATTCTGATTGGTTAAAATAAAGTATCATGTTTCCATTTGATTCTTCCGAGTTTAGCTTTTTTGAAGAAATAAAGTATAACTATGAATTCGTCGATAGACTTTATATTAATGCGTACAAAATGGCTGCCGATAACCAGTCAGAACCGTACAGTTTGATGTTGGAACATTATTCGTTGTTTTTGGCGACAACTTTTATGCCCTGGACCTTAACCTTGATTGGTTTGGTGTTGAGGCCTAGGACGTCATAAAATATCCAACAATGTTCCAATGTCGAACATATACAGTTCTGATGGGATATTGACAGCTTTTGCTTTTTGCATAACATTGTGGAATATCAATATATTCATACACATGCAGGCCCGTGAAGATCCGGGTTAGAATAGATCGACAGCAATCAATGCTTGGCTTAACAGGTGACTTAACTTGTCATAAGATGCGATCGGATGGTCAGGCTCGGTGACTTGGTTGATGCATGTCATCGTATCCCAATTGCAGGGATCGATGCGCATGGTGTCTGGATTGTCTGGTCCAGATTCGATTATTTACAGACCGCCCTGACATAACTGGAATCCTGCTGAGTGCAGCGTTAAGCAACAACAACAAAATCATACGCATGCATAGAATTTCATGTTAATATTAATTCAGTTTTGACCCATCAAAATCATGCATTCTTCAATGTCATGCCATAATAGTATATATTCCACTTTCTTTATAAATATCATGCAGCTGAATGTATTAGATATAAAGGTTCTTGCGACAGGAAAGGTGCTATGAAGGTCATTAACCAATTACTATTTTAAAAAAAGACGATCAAAACCAACCCAAAATCAGGACCTCAGTTGTCTCACTCCAGCCAGAGGCCAACGTATCCTGTTCAGTCCGACAGGAATATGTGCCCTCGTCCTCCTTTCTGGCATCTGTAATGGTGAGAGTTCCTTCTCTCATCTGATACCTTCCTCCATTCTTTACCGGGACGTTGTTCCTTCTCCAAGTGTAGGCCACATGTGTAGCTCGGGATCGACTCCAGGCAGGGGAGGAACATGTCAATGTCAAAGTCTGACCAGGTGTAGCGTGAACAGGGGCGCTGACATGAGGGGCAGGGCCTGTTATAACCATGAAGGATACATTTTCCATCACACTTTCACAAAATTACGTTATACTTACGTTTCATCTTCTTGTAAGTGGGTGAGTGAGTCGGGTTTAACGCCGCTTTTAACATTATTCCAGTTATATCATGGCGTGTCAGCTTAATGTGGGAGGGAAGCCCAAAGTGATGCAGGTCTCAGACGTAGACCACTTCGGTGAAACCCACAAGCACGGGTATGGTGCTGACAAACCTAGAAACATAATCGGGGCGAACCGGGATTCGAACCCACAATCATAGGTTCCTGGCGTCCCCAAGGGACGCAACTCTGCGCACCGAATCGCGGCGCCTTTAACGACTGGGCAACCCGTGCCCCGCCCCATCTTTTTGTGAAGGGGAAAGACTATAGAAGACTAATATTGGTTTCTGTCAATACTGATTCAAATTTAGGATTAATTGTATTTTTTTTCAATCTTATCTCGCACGTCCGGTTTAGAAAGATTTTTGGAATCTCAACAAATATGCGATTATGAGTCACATATATACATACCTGAATGCAGTGACATTATAGAGTGATACTTTGATAGGACTGAAATATTTTTCAACCTAACGATAAGCATTTCTCATTCTCTCACTTTCTACATGGTTCAATAAGCACCCTAATTTAAAATTGTGAACACTCTTTTCATGAAACTCATTTTAGTATGTGTGCAACAATCGAGATTACATGTATATTGATTAATATCAGCAGTTATTTGTATACAACACATAAATATTCTAACCCATGATGTCAACACTGACGTCATCACTCCATACAGAGGCCAAACTTCTCTCTTTGGTCTGACACGAATATCTGCCTCTGTGACATATGTTAACATCAGTGATAATAAGATGAGGTCCTTCCATCGCATATTCTCCTCCACGTTCCAACAGTTTGCTATTTCCCCTCCAGATATAAGACAATGGTTGGCGGTATTCTCTCGGCAGACTCTGCGCTTCTGAGATGCAAGTTAATCTCAAATTCCCTTTGACGACAGCTACGTCACTACCATGTATGACCGGTTTAGCTGGTGGTTCTGTGAGCAATAGAGAAAAGCTAGTTAAGACGTTTTGTTTATCTGATGCTGAACCCAGCACCTGGCAAAAGGATACTATAGTGACAGTTTGTAAGTAATGAAGTCGAGATCTGACAATGATCGATCTGCAGGGATATGATAAAATGCAGCAACCAAGTTACGGGGCATGACTACCCGATCCTGTGAGTTCACCTCTCATGGAGAGTATGGGATGCTATCTGCGCCTCTGACAACTTGATATCTGACTATTGGGAGAAATTGCACTAAATTAGCGACGTGTGTGTGTATGTGTGTGCGTGTGGCTGTATGTACTACTCCAGATTAATGCCGGCGGATGGTTTATCCCCAGAATGCCAAAGGTCCGGCAGAGTAACAGCAGCGGCAGTCTTTCGACGTCTTTTGGCATAAGTGGGTGTGGGGGGTTCATGGTTGCTAACATTCATTATACAATGCCTTAATGCTGAGTACTCTCATGAACTACACTTACTTTGTACAACCAGAACATTGTCACACAACGATCGGTCACAGCGGTAGTGTCCAGCATCTGTCAACATCACGTTGTACATTGTCAGCAGCAAAGCGCGAGAGTCAGGGAAGACAATAATCCTTGTTATCTTTATTCTCGTCCAGAATTTCTGAAAGACGTGCACAGTGTGATATAACATGGACATCATGATGCTTGGTCTCGGATTCATTATGCGGAACCAAACTCCTTGGCTGGGCATCTTCCATACCATGGTGGCGTTCCCTCCCTCACGTACAAGTGTGTAATTCATATAGAGTTCTGTTGGCACTGAAAAACGATTGAAATGTGATGACTTAAATATACTTGTACTGCTGATCTCATTTTTCTTACAACTGGATCTTATATGAATTGTGTTATATTTATTGTTTTGGTGGATACATACAATAACAAAATGACACACTTAATCGTAAAAATATCTGTGGATAATCAACACTTATTGTCAGTAATTCGAATACAGCATTATTATTTTTTTTGCATGCTGATTCCTATTGTTCTCTTGTTTTTATTGTTTGCGAAGAGTCCTGTAGCAAAGTGATGTCATATGAACACACAGTAATAAAAAATTGAAGATAATATCATCAATAGTTTATGTCATTACAAACGTGCTTACACATCTATGTACAAAATGCGTACATAGGTGCATCCTGGTTAAATATCATTGCTTCCATATTTTTGGTAAGGAAACTTTCAGGAAGTGCTATAAGCATTATATATGATGAACATCTGAAAGGTGTAAGCATTAGATCAGAAACATTAGCCCACATTTCTTCCCAATGGTGAAAGGATCACTCTTCTCAGTACGGAGACGGTGATCCAGTTGGGCTTGACACGTGTAGTTATCTGTGTCGTCCTCCATACTGACATTGTTGATAGTCAGAGAGCTAATGTGATATCGTACTCTTGGCTCCCACTGAGCATGTTTTGACGACAAAGAATATCTATCTCCTGTCTCCAGAGTTACACCATTCATCCACCATGTGAAGGATGCGATGATGTGATGGTATCTGTTGCTGTTAACAACAACATTTATGTGGCAAGATAGCTGTAACCCTTCTCCAGGGTGTGGAACATCGGGGCCGACGATGTACGGATGCTCTAGGTCACCTGATTAAGAAAAATACCATAATGATTTACTTGCTTTGTTTTAGTTTCAGATGATAAAAGAGTTGAAAAGCAAAACTAACCACTTTTAGCATGATTGTGTGACTCATGTATCGGCATGTAGGGTATGAAGATGGTAGGAAATTGTTATTTTGTAACAATAGATTACTTTCACACCATTATCAAGCATTTAAGCTTCAGTACAGGCATTTATTAGATAGAATTGTGTACAATTGGTTACAAAGCTGCATGATTAGGTGATTGACATGATGATATTGCCAGTGACAAACTATTGACAATGTCACAGATGTTCAGTGATTGCAGAAGACGAGTTTGGCTCAGTGATGTGTGGTTTGTCAGACCTCATTATCGTGACAAAGATTTTAGACTAGTCGGGGTACCCTTGTCACATAGGATTGGTCGTTAGTTGCATAACTCCCACGTACACACAGTACATGTTTCAGTGGATTCCTGGTCGGAACACTATTGAAAATCATTGGGTGCAACAACTTCCGGTAGAGCCTCACAATCTTTACCAATTCTTTGTACCTTTGCAAGGGAAATGGCTATATATACCAAGGGATGCATTCCTAAGCCAGGCAGTTGTCCGGGCCTACTCGGGTGACACTCGAAGTCGCATCCTTTATTTCACATTGTACTTGAAAATGACCATTTGTCATCTTATGCCCACCATTCAGCCACTAAATAATCATTGTAGAAGCTAAACTTACTAATTACAGGTATTTAGTTACATAGCAGGTAAACATGATCATCTATAGCTTACCATCCAGTCACTAAATAGTCATTGCAGAAGTACGCCAAGAAGTCAGAAGCAGTACTTACTTATTACAGAAACCTCTTGTCCACATGCAGGTATTCTTGGCCCTTTTGAACTTGGCGAGCCAGCAAAACACCTGAAGTATCCATCATCAGATTTGCTCAGGGTTGGCAGATCAAAGCTGAATACCCCACTTCCTGATTGTGTGATATTTCCGGTGAAAATTCCGTTAAAGCCGCCGCACTTTGAGACTTGATTGTAATTGACTACGTGGAAGAAGCATTCACCTGACTTCATCACAGTGAACTCCTTGATGCCCGGGTTTGGCAGATTCCAGGAAATAGACAGAGGTTCTCCATGGATACCATATGTGGCATAGACTTCTGAAAATATCATGTTATACATGACAATATCATGGTCTTTGGTTCTATACAGATTAAATCACAATGTGCTCCTCTTAACATAGTGAAATATAAGCATGCAAGTGTGTTCGAGACAAAATGTAACAATAGGTGTACAAGCAATGAAAACCACAGTCGGTAAGCGGTTTGATCCCTGTTGCTCCACGTAGGCCACACCAAAGAGAACGAATTTGACATCTGTTGTCATTGGCACCATGTCAAATCAAAAGGTTCTGCTATTAACAGTGTTGAATTAAAGTAGGTGTCTATTGATAACAATTAAATACACTGGATGTAAAAAAAAAATAGACTGTCCATGGTCCGATGCATTTGGCAATAGCTGATAACGATACAATGTCATAATTGACATTTGACTGAACAAAAATTGACTTGCATAGTTAACGCATACACTAGACTGTTCCACTTTGTAAGGGATGATGAACGAACTTACAGTAAACCATGTACATCTTTAAGTTTATTTCCCACTAAACTTTACCTATGAAGATGTTGTTTCATTAGTCTTATTACATAACCTAAACATGGCGTACATGCAATACGTACCCACCACATTAAGTTCTTCTCCACAATGAGCTATCATTGATCCCCCATGATGAGGTGAACCTCCATAACATATATACAAGCCGTCATCGTCCTGTGTGACGTTCAGTAGAACAAAACTGAACACTCCAGCTCCGTCTGATGTCACGTTTCCGGTGAACTCTACTCTCGGGTCACAGGCTGTGACGTTGTCAAAGTCAGTAACGTTGAAGACACATATGCCTGATTTTAGTATTGAAAACTCCCTGACAGGGGGGTCGGGCTGTTTCCATGACAAAGACACGTTTCCTCCCTCATGGATTACGGTAAGTCCTAGAAAAATACATGAGTAAGAAATGTCACAGTTGTGGCTCTGACACTGGATGCGCGTGTGTTTAGATGAATTGTGCGTGTTCTGAAATGGAATACTTGTACCAGTTCATGATCAATGAGACGCAAAAACATCACGTAGGCAGATACCATGTTGCCACCCCTTTAGCATCCTAATAGCATCCCGCAATCCGCCTGGATTATATTGCCGGACATGTTGTAACTACTCCCCCTTTTTATTTCGAAAAAAAATCTTTATTTCTGTATAAATTACCCCCAAAGACAATAAATAGATCTTAATTGTGCACACACACCCCCCCCCCCCCCCCCCCCCCCCCCCCCCTTTTACAAAAAGCTGTATCCGCCAATGCTACTGTATGAGCCACAAAACGTTATTTAGCAATGTCAAAGAAGAAAAATGCATATTTGAGATTTCCAAACGAGCGGAGTTACTAAGTAATTGCTTCCGAATGAATAGCCCGGCAATGCGCTTATCAACAAGGCCAAGGTCTAACGTGGTTTCAATATGATTCTTAAATGTTAGGCAGACTAAAGGTTGATGTACGAATATTTCTTATATAATTACTTGACTTAGATAACATGGGACAGAGGTTTCCTTAAACTGACAAACATGTTTATATGCAGAACAAAACCTTTACCACCACTCTGCTCGTTTTTGATATATACTGAGCTTCAGTGTACCTATCTGATATATTTAAAAACGAGGTCAATATTGTTTGCGTTTATGGAAGAATAACATACAAACAGGTGTTGTTCATCCATGTAGCAGTCAAGGACAGTCATGGAACAGATATTTACATGTCATTACACATCCAGTTTGGTTTTCTGTATGTCAATACGTTTGTCACTAAATAAAAAAAATGTATGTCGACAGTAATGACTGAAATATGTTATTGTTTTAAAGAAATATATATTACGCGGTACTTATCTTTGTTTCATGTATATGTTTCTAGTGTTTTAGATTCGATAACTTCGTATACTGCATCAGAATAGGAGCAGTATCCTCAAAGATATTCGTCAAACTGACACGAAATTTGCAGAAACTAGCATTGTTACAGTGGCGTTACCACACCCTTTCATGCTTCCATAGATCTATACGTTATAACATTTCATAAGTATACATAACATTAAAGCCGACTTACCTTCAGCAGAACGACATAGTACAATCCAGACTATGGCAATATGGAGCACGCACTTGAGTGCCTTCATCGTGCCATACGCTGTCATACTGAGGAGGTAGCAGTCACTAATTGTCAGTTGTTCACGTGATTAAATAAACTTTACGTGCTGTTTACCATCAACTATATTTTAATCTTTGGAGTCATTGTGGATCATCAGAGATGTATCATGCATCCGCCTTGGAAACGTATTGCACGGCAATATGAATTAATAAACATTTGAATCTGACCTGTGACCGAGTGAGTGGACTCGCCACCCAAGCATTGTTTCCTGCCACATCAGAGAAGGGGGCCCTCGTGAGGATTCTGTGTTCAACTGAGATCCAGGCTCGGTGACACTGCCTATTGCGTGTCTTGGTACCCCGACGCTGTGGGCCGCTGCTCATCACTGCAATCACTGGATTGTCTGGTCGAGAATCGATTTATTGGCAGGCAACATAAACAAATGACATTTTAAATGAGCTTCAAATGGTGTATCAATTGCATTAAATATACGGAGCTAATAAATGATACCTCTGCTACGTATGAATCCATGCATCCTTCAGTTGGAATTAGGGGCGGTCGGGTAGCTTATTGGTTAAAGCGTTCGCTCGTCACACCAGACCCGGGTTCGAATCCCGACATGGGTACAATGTGTGAAGCCCATTTCTGGTGTCCCCCATGGTGATATTGCTGGAATACTGCTAAAAGCGGCGTAAAACCAAACTCACTCACTCACTCAGTTGGAATTCTTCCTTGGTCTACCTTCTGAATGATAATGTCAATCACGAGATTGTGACGATCTCTATTTAATAATTGTTCACTTTGTTTACACTATCATCAATCTTGATATGAAAACCATTCATTTAGGTTAATGTGGACAAGTGTGTCTGTGTGAGGTCTGACGGGCAACCATCACAGACAGGCGGGAGGAAATGACGGTCTATGATTTCAATCAAATTATCAACAAAGGCGAGTCATCTAAGCGTGTGTCATGCATGTACGTATTTGATGTATAAAGTGTGAAGTATATACGGATTTTGCTTCGGTTTAATGCAACATTCCCAGAGAATGTAATAGATTTTGTGTTTGATAAAATTGTGTTTGAAGCAAGTGGAATGAATCATTACTATCTCAATCACTGATGATGATGCTCCGTGCCCATCTTTCTGATTCTTAAATTTAATATATTGCCAAAACAGCACCATCCCAGCCATTCCCTTCCCAGCCTTTGCGTCAGACAGTAATATACTGATTTACAGCCGAGGGTCCAGGGTACAATATACATGTACACCTAAGAAAAATAAAATCACGTTTAGACAAATGCTTCTGGTTAAAGTTTTTTTAGCCGAGGAATACTTTATGTTGAACAAGTCTTGCTGAAATGATTCAGAAAATTGATCTATGTTTTGAATCCTGCTCATACATGAAATTTTCAAACTGTCAGACATGACCCTGACTCATATGTTTCTCTCATGTTCACGCTGACATATCCTGGAGCCATAATTGTACCCCGTGTTCAAACTGTCAAACATACCCTGTAGCTATAGGGTCTCCCGTGTTCAAACTGTCAAACATACCCCGTAGCTATAGGTGTTTCCCGTGTTCGAACTGTCAAACATACCCTGAAGCTATAGATGTCTCCCGTGTTCAAACTGTCAAACATACCCTGTAGCTATAGGCGTTACCCGTGTTCAAACTGTCAAACGTACCCTGTAGCTATAGGTGTCTCCCGTGTTCAAACTGTCAAACATACCCTGTAGCTATAGGTGTTTCCCGTGTTCAAACTGTCAAACATATCCTGGAGCCATAATTGTCTCCCGTGTTCAAACTGTCAAACATACCCTGTAGCTATAGGTGTTTCCCGTGTTCAAACTGTCAAACATACCCTGAAGCTATAGATGTCTCCCGTGTTCAAACTGTCAAACATACCCTGTAGCTATAGGTGTTTCCCGTGTTCAAACTGTCAAACATACCCTGTAGCTATAGGTGTCTCCCGTGTTCAAACTGTCAAACATACCCTGTAGCTATAGGTGTTTCCCGTGTTCAAACTGTCAAACATACCCTGTAGCTATAGGTGTCTCCCGTGTTCAAACTGTCAAACATACCCTGTAGCTATAGGTGTTTCCCGTGTTCAAACTGTCAAACATACCCTGTAGCTATAGGTGTTTCCCGTGTCCAAAATGTCAAACATATCCTGGTACTATAGGTGTTTCCCGTGTTCAAACTGTCAAACGTACCCTGTAGCTATAGGTGTGTCCCATGTTCAAACTGTCAAACATACCCTGTAGCTATAGGTGTTACCCGTGTTCAAACTGTCAAACATACCCTGTAGCTATAGGTGTTACCCGTGTTCAAACTGTCAAACATACCCTGTAGCTATAGGTGTTTCCCGTGTTCAAACTGTCAAACATATCCTGGTACTATAGGTGTTTCCCATGTTCAAACTGTCAAACATACCCTGTAGCTATAGGTGTCTCCCGTGTTCAAACTGTCAAACATACCCCGTAGCTATAGGTGTTACCCGTGTTCAAACTGTCAAACATACCCTGTAGCTATAGGTGTCTCCCGTGTTCAAACTGACAAACATACCCCGTAGCTATAGGTGTTACCCGTGTTCAAACTGTCAAACATACCCTGTAGCTAAAGGTGTTTCCCGTGTTCAAACTGTCAAACATACCCTGGTACTATAGGTGTTTCCCGTGTTCAAACTGTCAAACATACCCTGGTACTATAGGTGTTTCCCGTGTTCAAACTGTCAAACATATCCTGGAGCCATTATTGTCTCCCGTGTTCAAACTGTCAAACATACCCTGTAGCTATAGATGTCTCCCGTGTTCAAACTGTCAAACATACCCTGTAGCTATAGGTGTTTCCCGTGTTCAAACTGTCAAACATACCCTGTAGCTATAGGTGTCTCCCGTGTTCAAACTGTCAAACATACCCTGTAGCTATAGGTGCTTCCCGTGTTCAAACTGTCAAACATACCCTGTAGATTTAGGTGTCTCCCGTGTTCATCCTGGCAGACGTGCCATGTAGTCTTTTTTCTCTGAGGGGTTCATGCTGTCAGACATGTTCTGTAACCTCATTTACCTCCCGTGTTCATACTATAAGGCATGTCCTCTGACCATGTTCATGGAACAGAGAGGAAGTGGGTGTGTAGTAGGAAGTATGGCTTTATGGAACAGAGAGGAAGTGGGTGTGTAGTAGGAGGTATGGCTTTATGGAACAGAGAGGAAGTGGGTGTGTAGTAGGAGGTATGGCTTTATGGAACAGAGAGGAAGTGGGTGTGTAGTAGGTGGTATGGCTTTATGGAACAGAGAGGAAGTAGGTGTGTAGTAGGAGGTATGGCTTTATGGAACAGAGAGGAAGTGGGTGTGTAGTAGGAGGTATGGCTTTATGGAACAGCGCGGACGTGGGTGTGTAGAGGAGGTATGGCTTCATGGAACAGTGAGGAAGTGGGTGTGTAGTAGGAGGTATGGCTTCTTGCAACAGAGAGGAAATGGGTGTGTAGTAGGAGATATGGCTTTATGGAACAGAGAGGAAGTGGGTGTGTAGTAGGAGGTATAGCTTCTTGCAACAGAGAGGAAGTGGGTGTGTAGTAGGAGATATGGCTTCTTCCAACAGGGAGGAAGTGGGTGTGTAGTAGGAGATATGGCTTCTTCCAACAGGGAGGAAGTGGGTGTGTAGTAGGAGATATGGCTTCTTCCAACAGGGAGGAAGTGGGTGTGTAGTTGGAGGTATGGCTTTATGGAACAGGGAGGACGTAGGTGTGTAGTTGGAGATATGGCAACTTGCAACAGAGAGGGAGTGGGTGTGTAGCAAGAGATATGGCTTCTTGTAGCAGAGAGGAAGGGGATGTGTACTAGGATGTATGGTTTTAAAGAACAAGGTGTGTAGTTGGAGGTATGGCTTCAGAGAACAGGGAGGATGTAGGTATGTATATGGAGGTATGTCTTCAGAGGACAGGAGGAAGTGGGTGTGTTGTAGGAGTTATGTCTTCAAAAAGCAGGGAGGGTGTGCTCTCGAAGCTCAATCTTTAGTTTCTTACGTTTGAATGTTGTAGGATATTGTAGTCTGGAAACGAAGGACAGGTCAGTGGTCTCACACACTGTAGAACCTTGCTGGTCAGTAAGTCAATGTTCACGCATGCAAAAGACAACATGAAATGTTTATGGCAGACGTTTTTATTTTCAGAAATTGAAGTCATACAACACAAAAATTAAGGTCAGGAAAGTGAAGACGATTGACATCCTAATACAATAAATCAAGGACAACTGTTCGTGTCAGCTTCCTGGCAAGGATTATTGAAGAAAGACAAACATAGTTAAACGTTCATATAATTATTTCAGAGCAAATCAGAACCCATATATTCTCAAGCAATATATACAAAACCACCAATGCTAAGGCCGGTTTTCAATTTCAATTCGAGTCGTCAGGAGACAATTCTGATTTGTTGTCAGCGTGACACACAACCTGACGGTCATATTGCTTTTCAAGCAGCAAAAGCAACAGCGGCCTGGATGCAGAGTAACCTCCCTCAAAATGTCAAGATCTGCTGACCATCTGTTGGATTCTTATATACGCCCAGGGCATGGTTCATGATAGTTAATCACTGTAAACATGTGGTTTCACAAAGAGTGGTAAAGTGTATGGCATCACACTAACTTTCCACGCATGAAGGTAACGCAGCTTGATGAAACAGGAATATTGATCAAAGCGATGTAACACCTGACTTATTCAATGTACTATATAACGTGTAACATTTATGATTAACTAATAAAATCTGTGGACCCATCTACTTATACATAACCAAATATAGGAACGAAACGGCAACGACTAAAAGCGATAAATGCTATCAGTAACATAATAATTCATAATTATGTCAGTAAAAGACTCCCTGTGTGGTGTGACTGGAATCTTGGATTGACCAATGATGATCTGTCAGTCCGTGTAAATACCATGCCATGGAATTTGCTTAAGTGTTACAAAATTGTTTTTGTCTCAAGTATGTGGATGAAACACTACGATAGAAGTGAAATAATGCTCAAAGCAACATTATCTATCTCACTTAACCATTCATGAAGTTCATGACGTTTCCGAATACTAACACTAGTCCTTTATTAGCGTGGCCTCATCTGAAACAGGAATTGCTGACTGGTCGATGTCGCTCATTCGAACACTGTCTGCTGGGATGTATCTGTGGAATTACAATGAACAGCAATGTATTTGATATGAACTTAGGCCATGGGCTACTTAGGTCCACCGTGCACCCTGTGAAAGTTTGAGCGATCTGCGTAGAGTGAATTTGCATATGTGTATTCTACTAAGTAAAAGTTTAATAGCCACTATGCTTGTCATTATATTTTTATGAAAATAACATAATCGTATTTTCATATATTACACATGGAAATTGGACAATTTTAAAGAAATTTATTGACCTTTGTGTTGCAGTACAAAAATGAGCTGACGTGGAATGCAAAATCGCGATTTTGAGGGTACCTCCACAAATATGATGAAAACAGGAAGTGCATCCCTATATTTTCAATGTTAACATATGATTTCATGTTCAGGACACTCTAAGGCTTCAGGAAAAGTAAGTTTTGTTGGGAGGTGGGGTGTGGGGTGGGTGGGGTGGGTGGCGTTTAGGAGCACGGTGGACCTAAGTAGCCCATGGCCATGCTAAGCAAACACGCTGTTTCCTTCCAAATGCAACGTCTCACTTCCACCTATTAGAAACTACTGGAATAAGCAGGAAATGCGCCCTGCTACCTTGATTGGATAACTTGATTTCCACCCTCATTATGTGTTTCAAAATGACATTGGAGGTGAGATAAATCCTTGATGGTAATCACTCGAAAACGTGAAAACTTTCATTGCTAAAATCACTGCATTTGAATATTAGATCTCAGTTGTACATGCACGTGGCATATCATGTAGCACAGGGTTAAAAAAGTACTAAGTTTAAAACAATACATATATCACATTTCTTTCCTTAATTCTGAAAAATAAAATTTTACACTTCTTTCAACATTCGAAGATCTGACGTTTCGAGAAGAGGAGCTTTGGTTTACACTATGCTATTTCTTTAATGTCTCTAGATGGGTGTGCAAGGGAGACAAATTCTATGGACATACAGCTTCTTCGTCACAGTTAAGTCAACGTTTCTGTGTAGATACCAACACCCTTATCAAGAAAGTGATGTACAGAAGTGCAAAGTAAGAAGCTTATATACTTGAGGATAATTATTGTTTATACAGGTTGAATAAGGATAGATCCATGTTTACACAACACATAAGGTTGGAGCCTGGTTGATGGACATATTAGAATAAATAGGATTAACAAGGCTGGATAGAGTAAGATAATAGAGTGATTGATACGGACACGTTGATTGGAAGCTAGTATTAAGACGAGAAGGATTAAGATATATACACAAAATGGACAAAGGAAATGAGATTAATATTGTTTAGTGATAGACTCGTCGGAGGCCGTATCTACACGGAATTCCTTGTAATACAGAAGTTGTATATTCATAGAAGTATATCATTTCATCATAATCAACTTCTAACGAAATAACCATACAAAGAATTAGATGGGTGCGTAAGGGGTTATTCGATAAGACGTGTGCATTGAGTATTATCATTTGAATATAGTATTTGAAAATGAATACTTTACCTTATTTCCACTGAACCTGTGGACAAAACGTGATCATGAACTGTTCATTAAGAAGTTTATTAAACAGTATTTGAGTTGTATTCACGATACCATTACTCTTCAACGTTCAAAACAAAACATTCAACTGTGTTACGTTTATAAGTGTGTACACAGTCATCGAGTTGAAAGACCCCCCTCCCCACTATCGTGTGGTGGTGATATTCTATATCAATTGAAATTGCATACAAAGAGCTTTAATTTGATATCACCATGCGGCTTTCATGCCTTTATGTCTCATATATGAGTGAGAGTTGGAAATAGAACTGATATCGGATTAGTTATGGCGGCTATGTGAAAGCCATGTGTTTGTGAAATGTGAAGAAATATATATTGCCAATGCAAGAGAATAATCTTTCAAGATTACCCGCCGAAACAGATTCCATTTGACACATAGGGACAATAGCTGTGTGTGCACCACTGAAAAACAGTGATGACACCAGGTGTTCCAGAAAAAGGGTATGTATCCTGCCCTACCGGTAGCTCCCAGCAGAAACTATTATGATCACTGATGTGCGTTCATTGGTTGAAACCTTGTTGCCAAGCTTCTACCTAAAACTATGTTTGTCGTACATTAGCCACTGCATTATTAGCTCCTAAGCCACATAGTTACGTCCCGTAAGCGTAGCAGATACCTTTGAGTATGGGTTTAAATCCTGGTTCGCCCTGAGTACGTTTCTGTATTTCTGGTTTTTGATTCTTTGTTGTGTAACACCACAGTCATCAATATTCCAGCAATATGACAGGGCTCTAATAATAATCTGGCCCAGACATTATGACATTATGATCATCGGTCTACACAACTGGTACACGGTGACATGCATCAACCAAGTCAGGGAGTCTGACTACCCGTTAGTCCCTCTTAAGAGAAGCATGGGTTGCTGAAGACCAATTCTAACCCGGATTTTCACGGGTTCAATGTATGCCAGCACAGTGCCTGTTCTCGTGGGCTTCACCAAAGTGGTAAACGACTGACATCCAGCGCACTCATTCAGCATATCCATATAGAATGACATACAATTCCACATGGAACTACCTTTGGAATTTAGAAAAAAGTGCATATACTTACGTTTGGTCCTTTTGTATAGAAGGAGGAAGACGACAAAAATAATTGCAACACTCGCAATGACTGCTGCACATGCACCAGCAACAATAGCTGTTGTATGTGATGGATCAGCTACAAACGAAGGACATAATGTAAATGAAAATGCTTGAAACAACATTGTCTATCAACTTGTTTGATAGGCATTACTTAGAAGTTGGCGGATGACAAGATAGACACAATTTTATGGATAACAACTTCTTTAATACTGTAAAAAGCGACGTTTCGGTATAGATCCTTATACCGTTGTCAAGAAAGACTGAATGAGGGACATAGTGCAGAATATATATAGCAAGTGGAGGATTAACAGTAGAGGATTAACAGTAACAACAAGGGCATACATGAGTGGGATAACATAGGTAGGTGTGACAACAAGGATGACGCTATCAAAACATGATGTACCGAAAACACATAGCTAGAAGCCAATGGGGCATGAAGCCAATAAACAGGTGATTATTGTTTGATGGCCCTTAAACCCGAATCAGCGCCCTTCCGCATCGCCCTCCCGTTCATAGGAAAAGCCTCCCACATCATCAGCCGCCTCCTCAAACAGCAAGCCAACATTGACACCCACTTCACCAGCTCCAACTCCCTCAACACCCTGCTAAGAGCCAACGGCAGGAACACATCTAAACCCCAAGAGGTTAAAGGTGTAGTCTACAAAATTGACTGCAACTGCGGGCAATCTTACGTAGGTGAAACATCCCGCCCAATCAACACTAGAATCAAAGAGCATAAAACCTCCACCATCAAATCCGACAGCAAATCAGCCATCTCGGACCATATCATCAACTGTCCCAATCACATCATCAACTGGGACAACGTCCAAATCCTCGCCAACAACCTCCATGATTTTACCAAAAGAAAACTAACAGAAGCAGTCCACATTCGCCGCCACAACCAATCAATCAACAGAGATCAAGGCTTTCATCCCATCCGCCTACTATGAACTCATCAAACAATAATCACCTGTTTATTGGCTTCATGCCCCATTGGCTTCTAGCTATGTGTTTTCGGTACATCGTGTTGTGATAGCGTCATCCTTGTTGTCACACCTACCTATGTTATCCCACTCATGTATGCCCTTGTTGTTACTGTTAATCCTCTACTGTTAATCCTCCACTTACTACATATATTCTGCACTATGTCCCTCATCCCTGCAAACAACCCGAAACCACAGAACACGCACTCATCCACTGCACCCACTACCAAACACACAGAACCACACTACAAACCACCCTCAATCTAAATAAGGTTCCTACTCTAGATGAAATACTAAACCCTCAAAATAAACTAGAAAACTTCAAGGCCCTAGGCGTATTCCTAATCAAAACAGACCTAATTAAGCGCATCTAAAAACTAATTAATCTACCAATCCAAAATCCAATAAACATACAAACACCCACCTCACCCGGCTCCCTTAGTTCCCTCCTCCACCCACCTCGGCATTTATTCCAAATTAAAAAATTCCAAAAATTCAATATAATTAGGCAACCCCTAAAAGCCCCCTCTTGGGTTGCACACACCACTTTCACCCTTTTCGGAATACACTAAATAGTCTGGCCAGGCCTGTGTGCGAAATACGCTACAGTCGGAAAGCGCACGTTAAATCTTCTATATCAGTCAGTCAGTCAGTCAGCTTGACAAGGCGGACGGATCTTCAGATCCGACCTCCAAACACACAGGTTTCGGAGTCCATACCACACAACCAACTAAAACCACAGAATCCTTCCGACTCCCAAACAACCAATCAATATTCACGACAGAACTAATGGGCATGGCCTCAGCCCTCCATAGTCAAGAATCCAAAAACCACAATAAAATCCTAATACTTACCGACTCCCTAAGTGGACTGCAAGCCCTCCAAAACAAAAATACCAAAAACCGACCTAAATTAATAAATCTAATACTTAAAAGCTCCAACGACCTAACTAACGCAGGCAATCAAATAACCTTCTTGTGGATACCCGCCCACGTAGAAATATACGGTAATGAAAACGCCGATAAGGCAGCTAAACTATCCCTCAAAATCCCAGAAATAAGCTTAAACTTACCCATCCCAAAATCAGAAATTAAAAGCGTAAATAAGCAAAAAATCACCAAAAAATGGCATAACCTATATCTAAACTCAAATAGCCAAATCAAAAAAGTACTCAGCAAACCACTAACCAAACAAAAAATTCTCCATCCATCAATAAAAATCGAAAGAGAAATCACTAAACTCCAAACAGGACACACCAACCTAAATAACCACCTAAAAAAACAAAACAAACATACTACAGGTAACTGCCCACACTGCAAACAACTAGAAACCCCAGAACACGCACTCATCCACTGCACACACTACCTAACACATCGAACCGCATTACAAACAACCCTCAATCTAAACAAGGCTCTAACTCTAGAAGCAATACTAAACCCACAAAATAAACTAGAAAACTTCAAGGCCTTAGGCGTATTCTTAATCAAAACGGAACTAATAAAACGCATCTAAAAACACTACAATCTACCAAATCAAAATTACATAAACACACAAACATCCACCATACCCAGCTCCCTTAGTTCTCCCCCCAACCCCATCGGCATCTATTCCAAATCTCAAAATCCCCAAATTCTATATAAGCAACCCCTAAAGCCCCCTCTTGGGTTGCACACACCACTTTCGCCCCTTTCGGAAACACATTAAATGGCCTGGCCGGGCCCGTGTGCGAAATACGCATCAGTCGGAAAGCGCACGTTAAATCTCCAAAGTAAGTAAGTAAGTCCCTCATTCAGTCTTGCTTGACAACGGTATAAGGATCTATACCGAAACGTCGCTTTTTACAGTATTAAAGAAGTTGTTATCCATAAAATAATGTCTATCTTAACATTGTATATGACAACCACAGATAAAAAGTTGAAGACTTTTCTCTGATTCTGGATAGGCACATATAATTTGATATTGATGCATTTACATCTATACATAATCTTTTTGTCATATAACCTCATACATACATTTTGATCAAGCTGGATTGTTTGTATTTATGAATATGTTGCTGAAGGTCAATAGATAAGAAGAAACAATAGTATACCTTCCGATTTATTGGGTTTTGTTGAATTCCTAAAAGCATGTAGTTGGATGTGTAACGTGATAAGGCCCATAAGGCAGGATGTGACGAAATGTTGATGTGAAGGTCGTTAACGAATTACTATTTCCAAAGAAAAAGATTAAAACTAACCCCAAATCAGGATCTCAGCTGTCTCGCTCCAGTCAGAGACCAACGTATCGTGTTCAGTCCGACAGGAATATGTGCCCTCGTCCTCCTTTATGGCATCAGTAATGGTGAGAGTTCCTTCTCTCATCTGATACCTTCCTCCAATCTCTATTTGGACGTTGTTCCTTCTCCACGTGTAGGCCACATGTGCAGTCCGGGATCGACTCCAGGCAGGGGAGGAACATGTCAGTGTCACTGTCTGCCCAGGTGTAGCTTGAACGTGGGCGCTGACATAAGGGGCAGGGCCTGTTATAACCACAAAAAAACCTGTTTTATATCACACTTTCACAATATTATAGAATATTTTCATATCCAATATGTTTTTGCACTACACGTTATTGTATCTGGATAAATTAAAAACATCCAAATTTCACAATTTTTGGTCAATGCATTTCAAGGTACTATGTATTTAACATTGATTTAGAACTTGTGCCTTGCATTCTTACCAAAGATGGCAACCTCTGTATCGTCACTCCAAGGTGATCGATATCCTCGTTCCTCTGCCCGACAGGAATAATTGCCCGCGTCTTCTGTGCCGACATCAGTGATGGTGAGCGTAGGTCCGTCAATGTCATACCTCCCTCCACTCTGTATCTTGATGTTGTTCCTCCTCCAAGTGTATGTGATGATACCGGGGTGGTGATGATGCCGACTCGAGAAAGAGGATGATAAACACGTCAGTTTTACAGTCCGTACTGACACAGTCTCCACCGGGGAACTGATGATTGGTTTGGAAGGTGACTCTGTTGACAAAAAACACATACTTTCTCATCTGTTGAATCCGGACTCTGTTGAATCTGGAATCTTGTTAATACCGAATCACATTTTCGGTCCATGTATGCTTTCTTTAATGGTATTTCGTTCAGCCCCCGCCATTATATTTCTGGAATATTGCTAAAAGCGGCGTAAAAATCATACTCACTCTTTCAATCTTATCCTAAATATCTATTTCTTATATGCAGCAATAATCTGATCAATCAGAGTCCAGGTAAACCAAACTTCAATTCTGGTCCTCATGAAGTCCTGTTTAGACAGAATCAACTGCAGTGTGCATCACACATTTGGAATGTGATGACACATCAACGAATATCCAAATATGAGTGCAACGTATGTAAACCTGAAACATGAAGAAATTGATATACTAAGGTGATTCTGTGTTTGCCAATATGGAATGATACTGTAATATAATTGAAATAGTGTCTATAGTAACGTAAACCCCATTCACTTATTGACTCCACGGTGTAAGAAACACCTTTTTGCAAAATTGTAAACATTCTGCCAATGAAACTCAAAATGTGGGTACGTCATTTAAGTGAACATGCATCTTGATTTACATCAGCAGTAATTCTTACAAAAGAATAGCATATTCTTACCCATGACGTCAAGACTGATGTCATCACTCCATGCAGAGGCCAGACTCCCTTCCTTGGCCTGACACGAATATCTGCCTCTGTGATGTATCTTGGCTACATTGACAATAAGGTGAGATCCCTTTATCACATACATCCCTCCATGTTGTAGCCGTTTGTTGTGCCTCCTCCAGATGTAAGACAGTCGTGGGCGATATTTTTTCGGCAGACTCTTCGCTTCTGAGGAGCAACATAATGTCACAGGTCCTCCTACAACAGCTGCATCACTAGCGAGTATGGCTGGTTTGCTTGGTGGTTCTGTGAGCAGTGGGAAAAAATACTGCACTCAGAAATAATCCAGTTGTACGATAGCTGTCTGTAAATTTTCGAAACTGAAACAGGCACTCTATTGATTGAAATTATGAGCATTGATCTTCGAAATTGCGATGCGATGACATGCATTATCTTCGTCACTGTGCTTGATCATCCGATCCCGTTAGTCGCCTCTTACGACGAGCGAGGGTTGCTGGAGAACAATTCTTACCTGAATCTTCACTGGGCAGTAGAAATAACACTGTCTTGTATAATATATCGTGTGCACATTAAGTGCACTGACCACATTTACCTACTTCAGGAATAAGGGCGTTGTGGAATCTTCCCGTTGTATGCCCCTTGCCATCCTGTCTTAGAGACAGAACATGTTAGCTACATGATCATGGTAGAAATATTCATAATACGATGCCGTAATACTGAGTACACCAAGAAATTATACTTACTTTGTACAACCAGAACATTGCCACACAACGATCGGCCACAGTGGTAGTGTCCAGCATCTCTTAACCTTACGTTGTACATTGTCAGCAGCAAAGCGCGAGAGTCAGGGAAGACAATAATCCCTGTTATCCTTATCTTTGACCAGAATGACCGCCAGACATGCACATTGTCGTCTATCATGGACATCAAGGCGTGTGTTCTCGGTTTCTCAACGCGGAACCGACCTCCTTGGCTGGGCATCTTCCATACTATGGTGGCGTTCCCTCCCTCACGGGCAAGTGTATAATTTGTGTAGAGATCTGTTGACACTGGAAAATGATAAACATGTATTTATTTACTTATATACAATACATTAGCACTATTGATCTCATTATTTAACAATTGGTCCTGAGATGAATTGCGTTACATGAACTAATGTGTGGAATGACATACTCATGGTTTCTCTTGATAATCAACAATTATTGTAACTAATTCTAACTGAACAATATAATTATTTCACCATGTTGATTGCAGCTGTATTTATTGTTTGCAAAGAGTCTCATAGCAACATGACGTCATATGAATGTCGTCCGTTCATAGTTTATGACGTCAAAAACGATCACATGGTGCGCCGTTCAACAACTGACCAGATGAGGAGTTTTTATGCATTTGTTTTTAAAAAGAAAATGGTGAATATTAGGAATCACCCTCTGAGAGCACAGACGCCTAGTTTATCTGGTCATGCAAGGGTCTGAACGTAATTCAATCTGGGCTGACAATCCGTAATTCCACGTAGCTAAGGTTATAATCTAAATGTCTCATGTATTGTGTTTAGAATATTTCGAAAAACTGGTGTGCATTTTTCCAGGATATACATTTTAAGACATACGAGACAGTGAAAGACGTGCATTGGTGCATCTGGTAAAACACAATTTCTCCAACATTGCAGGAAAGGAAACTTATTGATTTCATATATTCTGAAAAGCTCACATTTCTTCTCTGTGGTGTACGCATCACTCTCCTCAGTGCGGAGGCGGTGATCCAACTGGGCTTGACACGTGTAGCGATCTGTGTCCTCTTCCATAAATAGATCGGTCATAGTCAGAAAGCTAATGTAATATCGCAGGCTTAGCATCCACTGAGCATGTACTGACGTCACATTACACCTGTGTCCTGTCTCTAGTGTTACACCATTCTTCCTCCACGTGAAGGATGCGATAATATGATGGTACCTGTGGCTGTTAACGGCAATATTAAAGTGACAGGCTAGTTTTAACCCCTTTCCAGGCTGCGTGGCATCGGGACCGACGATGTATGGATGCTGTAAGTCATCTGATAAAGATAGAAATATAGAAAAATGATTCACTTGATGTGATATACCAGATGCTAATACATATCATTAATGAACATATTTGTACGGTATTTAGAGCAGAAGTTTTTATCAACAGCATATATGCTCAGTACGATGTCTAAAAAACAAATATCGGTTGAGATTCAGTTCAGATATTTTCGTTGGTTTTCAGACCATGGTTACACCTTAGCAATATTCCACGTGTGTCAGTGTGATTTAGAGACATAGCCTGGTTTTATGGTTACACAATTATTGTCATTAACATTAACGTTGATGCACATTCAAAACCTTACACATATAATACAGGAAACAGTGAGGATCACATGTTGAATGAGAGAGTGGTAAAATTTAATTTAACCTATATTTTATTTAATTACTCCGTTTGAAAACCAAAATGCAACGCAGTCGCGGTCAAGACATGCAGCAAGACCGCTAGCATGATTTTGTCACCCTATGTAATGTACAATAATGATGGGTGTCTGTTGTTCAGTAACAGTAGAATGGAATTGGCAAGGCATCCTAAGATCATGCAGTTTGGTCACATGTGAGACCTTGGCCCACTTGACCAACAAAGCGATCTTAGCGCTAAGACGATCGTAACTCCCCTACTTTAACAGAGGCTTACAATAGTCGTAGCACGAAGATCGCTTTGTGCAAGTGGGCCCTGCTTATGAACGCTCCTAGCAGTGTATCATAGCACAATACGACCCATATGTCGGTGGCTCAAAAATGTGTGATTGTCAGACTTCTTTATTGGTATGGAGTTTGAAGGCTGTTTGCACACAGAAGTGGTTGTTAGTTCCAACAAGATAACTCCCACCTTAGGAACAGCTCGTGTTGCAATGGATGCCAAGGGCTGCATCCAGGACCCTCATCCAGAGCATGCCCTGGCGATGTAAAGCAGTTACGGTGGCCTCTGTCGTTATCATATCCTTTACGTTAATTAATTGTGTTGATTCAATACCATGTGGATTCTCAAAAACTCGGGATTTGCTTGACTTTTTTCAATCTCAGAAAAGAACCAAGTGCATATTTGATTTTTCGACTTTATACACCACTATCCCACATGAGAAACTTTAGGAAAAACTTCATTCCTTGATCTATGGAGTAATTGTTATAAAACGTGGTGACCACAGATACAGTTCAGAGGATCAAGAAAATTTGTAAATTTGAAGGCAAATGCCATCTGAAGTTGGCTGAGAAAGCAATTAAGTGAAATGCTGGACTTTCTCATTGATAGCATCTACTACAATTTGGGGGTAGGACATTTAGACAAGAAGTAGGCATCCCTATGAGCAGCATTTGCTTCTGTTTCTTTATGCGTACGAGTCGGATTTATGCTCGCATTGGCAAAGTCAAAACAAGGTAATTTGCCCAAAAAGTTTAACTTCAGTTTCAGGTATATTGATGATCTGATATCGTTTAATCACAATTAAATAGCCAATTCCCTTCCGCCGTTTTACCCACCTGAACCAGAAATATATAAGACCAATGAGACAGCTTCATCTGTTTCATAATTAGATCTATGCATAAAGATTCCAAGTGACAAAACACTCCACAAGAGGGATGACTTCAACTTTCCAATAGTCAACTATCCATTCATGTCGAGCAATATTCCAGCAGCGACAGCATATGGTGTATACATTTACAACTTTTTGGATACAATCGAGCATGCTCTTTCTAGCAAAATTTCAAAGAAAGTCATATGACTCTTCCTCAGAAGTTGTTTGATCAAAGTTACAACATCAAAAGACTCAGTAAAGCTTTCAAAAAGTTTTATGGAAGACATGTGGAGGACATTTACAAAATTGACGCATCAGTGACGAAAATTATGTCTGATGCAATTCCCTATTTTGTACCATATGTTCCCGTGTTTTTATAAGTGAACAATTGACTTGCCTTTGCGTGTGTTTGTGACGGGTGACACCAGTGGGGCAGGATACGCTCATCTTTTCACGAACACCTGGTATCATCATTCATAAACACATGCTTACGATATAGTCTGAAAGGTATTATCGACACTATTGAGATTTCTATAGGGTATATGGAAAGGGTTTTGTTGGTTTAGTTACATAGTAGATCAACATGACCATCTATAGCTTAGCATTCTGTCACCAAATGGTCATTGCAGAAGTACGCCGAGAAGTCAGAAGCAGTACTTACTTATTACAGAAACCTCTTGTCCACATGCAGGTATTCTTGGCCCTTTTGAACTTGGCGAGCCAGCAAAACACCTGAAGTATCCATCATCCGATCTGCTCAGAGTAGGCAGATCAAAGCTGAATACCCCACTTCCTGATGGTGTGATGTTACCGGTGAAATATCCGCTTGCGTTGCCGCACTTTGTGACTTCTTTATAGTTCGTTATGTGGAAGAAGCATTCACCTGACTTGATCACCGTGAACTCCTTGACGCCAGGGTTTGGTAAATTCCAGGAAATAGACAGAGGTTCTCCATGGAGACCATACGTGGCATTGACATCTGAAAATAACGCTTGAACGTTAGTGGTCATTGCCACTGGATTAAATCACAAATTGTTCCTGTTAACAGTGTGCATTAAAAGCATGTGTCTTTTCGAGACAGTACAATGCACTTGGTGAAGAAGCAGATACATTGTCGGTAACGTTGAAGACACATATGCCTGATTTTAGTATTGAAAATTCCCTGACAGGGGGGTCGGGCTGTTTCCATGACAAAGACACATTTCCTTCCTCATGGATAACTGTTAGTCATAGAAACATACACATATACACCTGTTAGTTTATAATTGTAGCCGCGACAGCTTATATCTTTTCACCCATTTGGGAAAAGTCTCATGAAGCAATGATATCTTCATTCCAATAGATAACAATCATTTCGGGGTTCAGGCGTTTTCAAAAAACTCTCCAAAGATATAGATTGTCCATGAACCGATGCACTTGGCGATTCAATCATGATTTGCATTATCAATAGCTGATATCAATACCATGCTGTATTTGATGTTGGAATAAAGCAGGTCCAATTTTGATATAGATCTGCACAGTTAACGCATAAACTCGGTATTCCACTACAATATAAGGGATGATGAACGAACTGAAAGTTAACCATGTACATCTTCTCATGTTTACGTATACCTCACACTAAACTTAGCCTGTAAAGATATATTGCCATTTAGTCTTATTCCATAACCTAAATATGACGTACATAAAATACGTACCCAACACATGAAGTTCTTCTCCACAACGAGCAATCCTTGATCCCGTATGGTAAGGTGAACAGATGTACGAGCCGTCATCTTCCTGTGTGACGTTCAGTAGAACAAAACTGAACACTCCAGCTCCGTCTGATGTCACGTTTCCGGTGAACTGTACTCTCGGGTTACAGGCTGTGACGTTGTCAAAGTCAGTAACGTTGAAGACACATATGCCTGATTTTAGTATTGAAAATTCCCTGACAGGGGGGTCGGGCTGTTTCCATGACAAAGACACATTTCCTCCCTCATGGATTACGGTAAGTCCTAGAAACATACATGAGAAAGAAATGTCACAGTTGTGGCTCTGACATTGGATGCGCGTGTGTTTAAATTAATTGTGCGTGTTCTGAAATTGATTTCATCATGTTTCATAAGCTGTTGTGACCAAGTGCCTGTACAGTGACCCTTCAGATACATTATTTTTCGAGTTTTCATTGCGTTTCTAAGGAAACAGTGTTTTCAGATAGATTTTCTAATCCTCTTCAGCCAAATCCTAACGGTGGTGGTGCGCGGAGATGGCGGTGTCATGAATAAATCTTTTTTAAAACACTTTTTTATGATGTTTTATTTTACCTTTTCTATCGTTTGGTTCAATGTGAAATATACCGAACATGTCCATGAGAGTGTCATAAACGTTATCATATGGAAGCAAATGATATGCCTTCATTAAGTGTATACATCTCATCATCAAACAAGTCAGGGTTCAGGCCAAGGACACTCAAGTCATCTGATACCAAACGTATACAGTTCTCACGGGGTATCAGCATGGATCGATATGTAGGATAAGGATGTATTCATACGCAGATTTTCTTATGTGCGCAAGGGCTTCGTCAAAGGCCACACTCCTCAGATCAACAGTCTTTGTATTGTCATTTGCCTTCAAGCTTTTTCACACCTTCTCCGCATACCAATCAGTGAACTGTTGGCTCAATTGTTTTATTGTATTGATTTTACGGAAGTGCTCTACTCACTGCTAATAAGCAGTGCTATTTGCTGTTTGATTGAATTAAGGTAAGGGTGAAATAAGGTAAGGATTGTTTCATTCCACTGGGGAGGGGGTGGGGAGGTCGCACTGATACTGGGTCGCATTTTTGGCAAGGCGTCACTGGTCATGTTAATTTGGAGACATATTAGTTTCAAATACCAGTACCAGTACGAGTTGAGTACCAATGCTGTTTTATTTTATGTTTTATTAAATTGTGGTTGTGATAGTTGTGATGTGTCAGGTGGTGGTTTGTCATGACTATATGTGTCAGGTTGTGGGTTATGTGGTATACCCAGGTTATGAGTATGGAGTAGTTTAAGTAGGTGTGTTAGAAAAAGGGCGTTTCAACTTTTTCAGGGTGTTTTGCTTGTGTTTTGATATTTTGTCATTTTAATGTAGATGGGTTTGTACTGGGCCTAAGTCCAGTAATCGAGTAATTGTTTTATGTTATGGTAATGCCTAATATTAGTATTAATGTGATTAGTCCCGTGACGTTCCGGGTTAGAATTGGTCTTCAGCAAACGATGCTGGTTGAAATAGGCGACTCGCGGGATCGGATGAGTTGCCTCGCTGATTTGGTTGATGCATGTCATCGTATCCCAATTGCGTGAATAGGGTGAAATTTAGAGAAATGATGTCTTTCATGATCACTTGATTACCATTATCTAACGATCAGGTATCAGAAAGAGTTTTGTTAGACCTCTAGTGTTTGTCACTTTGGAAAGTGTGAATGGAAATCTTTGGATATCTTAAATACGTCCATGTATTGCTTTGTTGTCTAGGTTTTGCATCAGGCCATTGCCCATAAGGATGTCAAAAGCTTTGCTGTCATAGATACATGTCCAGTGTGTATTGTTTTTAGTTTACGTTGGTCAGACATCCTGCTCCTAATGTAAATGTTTGACGATTTGGACTGAAGCTGCTCTCGTCAGGGCTAGTATGTTCTTTTTGAGAGATTTGGAGTTTGAGCATGGTATTTATAATTGAGTCCATGATTTTACAAAGGTAGGAGTTTAGGCAAATGAAACGGTAACAGAGAGGCTCGTGTGGTGTTTCCCTGGTTTAAGGACTAGTATCACTTCAGCTGCGGTCCATTGTTTGGGGATTGTGCAAGTTATAGTAATGACAGTATTTTTTAAAAAAAAAATTATGGGGAGTTTATTTGATTTGATTTAACTTATATTGTCTAGTCCTGTGGCTGAGACTGTAGTTTTTTTTGTATTTTTAGTGTTTTGGGTAATTCATTTATGTTCATTGTTGCGTTATATAATAAGTGAGTGTGATCTGGTGGAATTAAAGTGAGTGAGTGAGTGAGTGAGTGAGTGTTTTTTTACGCCGCTATAAGCAATATTCCAGCAATATCACGGCGGGGAACACAAGAAATGGGCTTTACACATTGAACCCATGTCGGGAATCAAACCCGGATCTTCGACGTGACGAGCGAACGCTTTCCCCACTGGGCTACCCCACCGCCCCTGGAATTAAAGTGGGTGATGGGGGGAGCTGCTTCTTTGTGAAAAAGTGGGCAGCAATAAATTGCATTTGCGTTCTCTCTTTTGGGGGTTGAGCTCGTGATATGTGGCGAAATAGAAGATATCTCGTATTACTTTAAATCTGTTGCACAATATTCGAGAAATTGCTTGCCTTTTATAAGGTACTTTCAAAAGTTTGCCAATGATTTGTTTGATATTTTTGGTATTATTTCTTAGTTGTTTTACCAATTGTATTTTAGAACGGTGTCTCTTTGGTGGATTGAGAGCCTTTTTTGTCTTTCTTTTTTTTCTAGCAGTTAGGGTTATGTGTATGTTTCATTTTGGATAACGGTATACATTAAGTAGTAATGTCATGTATTTTGTTTGTGAAGTATGTTTTGACGGTTTCTGTGCCTGTGTTTTGTATTTATGTTGTCTATTTGGTAGCAGACTTTTATAAACAGCCGGTGGTAGGCTTTTTTTATTTATTTCATTTTTCAATTTATTTTCTGGGTATTTGTGTCTAATATTAGATTTGGGGATAAAGTTTGTTTGTTTGTTTTTACAGCTATATTTACTGCGGTCTGTAAATAATCGAGTCTTGACCACACACTCAAAGGATTGACATCATGAGAATCGATCCACGCATTTGGGATACGATGACATGAGTCAACGAGTCTGACCACCCGATCCCGTTAGTCGCCTACTGGCAATAGTGGGGGTTATTTTTTAACAGTGGTCGCTGCTCCAGGTGTCATTATGCTTGGTATTTTATAAAGGTTTGCTGTAGTCACAGAAAGGTCCACAAAGGTCTGTAAATGGCTGGTAGGATATCGGGTTGAACATTTTTTATATTATTGCTGTCAATCCAGTCTATAAGGAATTTGCCGAATTTATCATGCCTTTTTTGCCACACGTGTATCCGAGGTTATAGATTTACGAGCTTAGATGTTAACGTCAATTTGTGAAAAGGGTTTTGTTTTGGCATGTTAGATAGTTATTGAATTTAGTCAATATTGTTTTATGAATCGTGGTACTTAGAGCAAGGACTTAAAGATTTGTGTTTAATGCATATACCAAAGCCGTAAATAGGCATCTTCCAGAGGCAAGGAAAGTAAAAGTCTAGTTTCCACAAGTCTAGTCCATTACGTGTGAATGTTATTTAAATCTGGTGGGAATGTATAACTGTGATAGATCTAAAATCCCCTGTGTATTTTGATCGGGCCATTTGTGTGATAGTACTGATTAGGTATTTATCATTGCTGCTGACTGCATATCATTTTGTTGAACGCACCTGACGCTGTGTGAGTTCATTGTGTGTTACTTCCCTAAAGCCTTAAGGCTTTACGTTTGTTATTATAACTCAGCGTTAATATACAGTAAGCTACGGTTATAACGAAGTGAAAGGGACCATTGATATTAGTTCGATATAACCGTAGTTCGTTATAAACATATATACAACATGTATACAGCAAATGGCCGGGACCAAAAACATATTCGTTATATCCGTGAGTTCGGTATAAGCGTATTCGTTATAAACGTAGTTTACTGTATCCTTAAACTTCAGTATGGTTTATGTTTGTCAATACGCGATGTACCATCGGTCTATCAATTCGTCTTTCAAATTTCACGTCAATGTTCGCTAGTAACTCTTTAAACCATTGCGTGGCACCTGTGTGAGGCGTATTCTAGCGCCGACAGCGTAGGAAGCGTAATTGTTAGCTAAGCACCCTGACAGTACCCCCTGTGTGCTAATTTTAGATGTTTTCTTTGATTCCCTATCTGTAAGTGTTTCAAAGTCGAAACTTCTTCCTTAACACAATCACAAAAAAACTGCGAACTCGGTTAAAGAGAATATGATGAAGGAAGTGGCATCGGTTAAACCGAATATTTTCAATGGTTTGAAAGGTCGCATTCAGGGCGCAGTGAAGATTTTTAACTGCAGATATGTCTGCTTTAAGTACTCAAACCTTATTGTCGCCATAATACTTGACCCACTTCAATGATACACAACAGAATCACGCGGGCACATATCCTGTAAGCATCCCTTGTCAAGTTTTCCGCCTGACACATATTGCGACACTTGTTGTAACTAATGTAGAAACCTCAACACGTCCTTGCGAGCTCCGACACAGCGTCAAAGCAAGTCTTTACCATAAAATGTCCCCATTTTAAAAAAAAAACCAGGCAAGTTCAAGCCATAATGAACAATACTGTTTAAGAATTATTCCCTGTTGAACATCTTACTCGCGTTTTGGATTACTTTGTGATTACTTCGATTTTTTACTGAATTTGATAAACAGGCCTCTCTACAGTAAATGAGCGCAGCAGTCTATTCAGGCCGCATTGCACTTGTGATGAACCGGCATGTACATGACACTGTCCCCCTCAAATTATTACGGTAAACTTTCTGACATATGGCAGACATATCAGGTTTTAAATAAAACTAAAAAACTAAAAAAAAAATCGAAAAGAAATTAAGAACAAGTAAGCCAAATATGACAAGGTGTAAACATGTAAAAACATCAGTTGCTGAAAGCAAATTCTAGGCTTCTCTCTGGGTGTGGGGCGGTTGGGTAGCCTAGTGGTCAAAGCTTTTAGCAATATTCCAGCAATATCACGGCGGGGGACACCAGAAATGGGCTTCACACATTGTACCCATGTCGGGAATCGAATCCGGGTCTTCAGCGTGACGAGCGAACGCTTTAACCACTAGGCTACCCGACTGCCCCCGTAGATTCCTAAACTAAGCGTGAAATTGCTACTGTGGTACAAATACACTCTTCCACAGATCAATATGTCAAAACATTATATGAGCATTAAGATTCAAGCCGCCCTACCTTCAACACTACGCCACAGCAAAACCCACACTATGGGAATATGAAGCAAGCAGTTATGCTTCATACTGATGGGATAGCTGCCACTGATTGTTAGGGGTTCACGTGACTACAGGAGTTTTATGTCCCGTTTACCACCAGCTGTATTTTAGTTTAGTTATGAGTCAGTGTGAATGCTTATAGGCTGTACACTACATCCCCGTTGGAAACGTATGGTCCAGTGATGCTAATTAATGAACATTGAACATTTGAATCTGACTGGCAGACTGACATGGCTCAGTTCGTATATGTGATACCAGTTCACATTGACAATAAAACATGGAGGGTCCATGAATATAGGTACAAAGGATGATATTGTGTTACCCTTGTCTGTTATACGGACAACAAGTATGACATAGTCAGGAATGTTAACATAACACCTCACTGAATATAAAGCCCTATCCACTGGGTAGTGCCTAGTTAGCCTTTTTCTTTAGTGCTACTTAGACACCTGTAAAAAAACCTTCACTGATCTGACCAACGCACTCAGTACGTTGGCTGTTGTGTTCGACTGAGAACTGATTTCACACTGAAAACTGTTGTTGTGATGTCTAACGAATCTGACAACTGTCACGCTCTTGGGTCTTCAAAATGACTGATAATGTTTTCAACAATATAACTCCTAGTGAGCTCAACTGCAAATATCGAACATAACCCATATAAGGCATCGGTACCTGTACACTATTACCTACAGGGGCCCGGATATCGGTGTATTAGTTCCACTGGTTCTCTAGGTGGACAGGTGGCCCAGTCGTCTAAGGCGCCACGATTCGCTGTGCAGAGTTGCGTCCCTTGGGCACGCCAGAAACCTATGATTGTAGGTTCGAATCCCGGTTCGCCCCGATTATGTTTCTAGGTTTGTCAGCACCATACCCGTGCTCGTGGGTTTCACCGAAGTAGTAAACGTCTGAGACCTGCATCACTTCGGGCTTTCCTCCCACATGAAGCTGACACGCCGCGATATAACTGGAATAATGTTAAAAGTGGCGTTAAACCCAACTCACTCACTCCAGTGGTTCTCACAAGAGATTATCGTGTTTTCTGGTTGAATCGTTCGCTCTAACTGTTCCTCTGACTATATTGCGACGTCACATCAACTCATATTTACAAATGACGTCATCCATTGTTCAGGAAGCGTTAAAGGAGTTTATGTATTTGTTAACTTTTTCCAACGACTAACGGAGCTGATACCTAAGGTCTCAATATCCACGTTTCTCTGAGACAAGATGAGTAATATATAGAACAACATGGGAGCTTTGATTTTCTGTCAGTCGTGAATTAACGCCCTGCTCGTAACTTACAAAAGGTATTTACGTCTGCAATACGTATACGTATTCAGGAGGGGCAGATACTTCGTAATTCATGTAATGTTGTCATGTAATATCCACGTACGTACTCAGAACATAGAAGACAACTCTTGTCATGTTGTAAAATATGTTATTTTTCAACTTCGTAGAGCGTAACATTTGCTAGGTGTACTAACGGTAGTCTGTGTACGCCTCCTGCGTTCTCGTTGTACATGTATATCTTAGTAAAGACATTAAGGAAACGCATATCTAGTGCGGTTTATTGAATCTAAGTGGAGGAGACGAATGGACCAGTCACCGCAATACGCAGATTGGTCATGGGTTCGCCCCATTTTATGTTTCTAGGTTTGTCGGCACACGTGCTCGTTGGTTGAACCAAAGTTGTACACGTCTTAGACCTGCACCACTTCGGGCTTTCCTCCTCCATAAAGCTCACATGCCGTGATATAACTGGAACTCTGTTCACCCACTCACTCACTAACTTAATCTAATCAAGTACATCTATACATCTTTTCATACAAATCCTGCGTTAACCTAGTGTTGGACAAAATCATCGGATCCTGTTGACTCAGGTCTTAGTTATATCATCCTTCGTTTCGCCATCGACATAAAACAACTCAAAACTATTTTTAAACCAAATAAGCAAAGGAGCACTGTACAAACGAACTGGGTCGGATACATTACGCAGACATATCGGCAATATGGTCAATGGTATCCACTCCACGATATATCCTGTATCCTTCCGCGTTATCAGTGCTAATGAGTAATTGAAGAGTCTCATGTATCACGGCAGCTTTTAGATGCCTGCTCATGAATGCGTGATGCATGTGATATCTGTTAACACTATGTTAACAATTCCTGTACCCATATGTCCTGTAGCCATATTTGGATCTCTTGTTCAAACTGAGTGCAGTGTGGGTAAAGTGATGTGTGCAGGGTGAGTAGATTGGTTCGGGAAGAGTGGGTAGAGTGGTGTGTGCAGTGTGGGTAGATTGGTGTGTGCAGTGTGGGTAGATTGGTGTGGGTAGAGTGGGTAGAGTGGTGTGTGCAGTGTGGGTAGAGTGGTGTGTGCAGGGTGAGTAGATTGGTTCGGGAAGAGTGGGTAGAGTGGTGTGTGCAGTGTGGGTAGATTGGTGTGTGCAGTGTGGGTAGATTGGTGTGGGTAGAGTGGGTAGAGTGGGTAGAGTGGTGTGTGCAGGGTGAGTAGATTGGTGTGTACAGTGTCGGTAGATTGGTTTTGGTAGAGTGGGTAGAGTGGTGTGTGTAGGGTGAGTAGATTGGTGTGTGCAGTGTGGGTAGATTGGTGTGTGCAGTGTGGGTAGAGTGGTGTTTGCAGTGTGGGTAGATTGGTGTGGGTAGAGTGGGTAGAGTGGTGTTTTGCAGGGTGAGTAGATTGGTGTGTGCAGTGTTGGTAGAGTGGTGTGTGCAGTGTGGGTAGAGTGGGTAGAGTGGTGTGGGCAGTGTAGGTAGAGTGGTGTGTGCAGTGTGGGTAGAGTGGGTAGAGTGGTGTGTGCAGTGTTGGTAGAGTGGTGTGTGCAGTGTGGGTAGAGTGGGTAGAGTGGTGTGTGCAGGGTGAGTAGATTGGCGTGTGCAGTGTGGGTAGAGTGGTGTGTGCAATGGGGGTAGATTGTTATGTGTAGTGTGGGTAGAGTGGGTAGAGTGGTGTGTGCAATGTGGGTCGATTGTTGTGTGTAGTGTGGTTAGAGTTGTGTGTGCAATGTGGGTAGATTGTTGTGTGTAGTGTGGTTAGAGTGGTGTGTGCAATGTGGGTAGAGTGGTGTGTGCAATGTGGGTAGCTTTTTGTGTGTAGTGTGGGTAGATTGTTGTGTGTAGTGTGGTTAGATTGTTGTGTGTAGTGTGGTTAGAGTGGTGTGTGCAATGTGGGTAGATTGTTTTGTGTAGTGTGGTTAGATTGGTGTGTGCAATGTTGGTAGATTGTTGTGTGTAGTGTGGTTAGAGTGGTGTGTGCAATGTGGGTAGATTGTTGTGTGTAGTGTGGGTAGAGTGGTGTGTGCAATGTGGGTAGTGTGGTGTGTGCAGTGTGGGTAGAGCGATGTGTGCAGTGTGGGTAGAGTGACGTATGCAGTATGAGTAGAGTGATGTGTGCAACTCTACCCTGTGTGGGTTGAGTGGTGTGGGTAGATTGTTGTGTGCAGTGTGGGTAGAGTGATGTGTGCAGTGTGGGCAGAGTTGTGTGTGCAGTTTGTGTAGAGAGATATGTGTAGTGCCAGTGTGACGTGTGTAATGTGGGTGTAACGATGTGTGTTGTGGGTAGTTTTGCATGAGGTAGTATTTGGGTAAAGTTTTGTGTATTGTGTGTGTAGTTTGGGCAGTTTTTGCATTGGGTAGTGTGTGGGGAGAGTGGTCTGTATAGTTTGGGCGGAGTGTCGTGTGGAGTGTTGGATGTTTTGCACTGGTCAGTGTGTGGGTAGAGTAAGGTTTGTATAGTGGGTAGAGTGATGTGTTTAGTGTAGGCAGAGTGATGTGTCTTGTGTCCGTAGTTTTACATGTTTGACAATGTTTGTAAGTCGAGGTCAGCTAGTATGGGGTAGTTTCTTGAAGTGTTGCGTGTGTAGGGAGATATGTGTAGTGTTTGGTAGTGATCGGTTTAGAATATGTTTGGTTCGAACTCGTCTGTCCCGTCCGTTCAAAGATCCGTTGATGAGTGTGCGTTTACGGCATGTAGTAAATACTGCTAAGACAGACCATGAGGCTAAAGAAAGTAGACATTGAAACTGATCATGACAATGCTCGCTTCACTCTGCCCATTACTGCACACTCAATTGCGAGTAAGTACACAACATTTGGGTAAATATTTTTAAAGCCTAAACATGTTATCTTCATTCTTAGAAAGGCTGTAAATAGTGTAAGTATCTCTGGACCTGAAACGGTGTTCCTCCTGTTAGGGTGTCCCATGATACGTTGCCACATTTAGGGATTGCCTAAAAGTCGGGCCGGGCCGGGCCGGGCCGGGCCAAAGTTGTATTGGCTAATAACTCCATTATCGGCGACCATACCTACATATCATTGATGCAACAGACATAAATGACATTAATGAACAATCATCAACCATGAACGTGCACCATAATTAAGTGATTCGGAGTAAATCGCTTGAAAACCAGAAAGTGAAGCTGTGTGTAAGCGTCGCTGATCTAGGTAACATGTACAAGGGAAATCGTTAAACGAAATAGGATTTGAAACGTATCAAATACTTCTAGCTATCGTGATAAAGATTTCCATCTGTCGGCATAGCGTTTACATTTATAGGAAAGTACTATATCTAAGTAAATACCACTTAATAATGTCACTTTTTATCGTATTTAAAGCAGACACGTTGGTTAAAGTCTCACAAGTGTTCGGTCCGACTTGGCCCGGGCGGTCAAAGTCAACTTTAAACACACAGATGTATAATCATATGTGTTTACATCTATAGACTTGTATTATATCAACCTATATACCATTTTATAATGTCACAGTACATCACATTGAAAGAAAACTGATCCGTTAAAGTCAAACACTTTAACTGTATTTTCTTAAGAAAATCTCTGTCAGAAGTTTTCGTTCCGACTTAAGCTGGGGCTGTCAACATCAACTTTAAACACGCAGATGTATCATGAAATGTGTTTACATCTGTAGATTAGTATTAAGTCTACCTATATACCACTTTCGAATGTCTCAGGTCGCGGTATTTAAAGGAAACAAGGTGCTCAAAGTGAAGCCCTTTTCCCTCTCCATTCTCAACATAGTCTCTATCAGAAGTGTTTGGCTTGTGTTGGGTCCGTT